ACTAAAATGATACAATATCACAATTATTACTACTACTTATTTTCGAATTTTCAATAATGTTACACAAACTTATCCACCAAGTGTTCAAAGATCTGAACAAACACTGTTTAACAACGAAGCAATGATAACAGGATGTCCATATTGTCACTTTGACGGTCAATGTCAATAGACTTGGTCAATACAGAGACAATTGACCTACCAAGTACTTTACTGACTGCAAACTCTTCAACTCCTTATCTATCAACTTTAAAAGAATCTATCAATACTATGAAACGATGATGGACTTGTGAAATGTCCAGTTTCGCCTAATCTAAGATTCTAACCAATTTATTTTGCGGATACATACAATTTACAGTATTTCTGTCAAAATTAGTATCGTTACGAGAAACAGTAATAATTTGGTTAGTAAATCAATTGATGATTATAGGCCTAAATCATAACTAAATACAAATCAAACCCCCGATTTATTGCTGAAAATGACATGTTGTTGCTTGTTTTGTTGCCGTAGTTTGGTTAGTTTAGCTGTTCCAATATCTTCTTATCGCGTGCTACCTAGGACTTGCACCAATTAGTTAAATTAGCTTCATTTCCTACGGATACGGGATAAAGTTTGATAAAAAATACATTTTGACTTTTTCCGACTAAAGTTGAATGCCAGAGAAATCCCCTTGACCCAATCCAGGCCTCAACTGATTACAAGAAAATTGTTTTCTTACAAAAACTGTGTCGAGGCTTTTTATTATAGTAATGGTAGGCCTACTAAGTTACGGCATGTTTATAATACTTCAGGTCGGCAAACGACTAACGAAAGATATCTTAAAATGCATTTCTTCACTCGTGCAACACAAAGTCTCGAGTTTGTAAATTCTGCACGTAGGATTATTTTCGCTAATTATCACATTGAGATGCTCAATTCCGTTCACGCAAACCGAAGGTTAGACAACAATCCGCATATTAGACTGTTCATTGTAAAATACAAGAGGCACTCGCAAGGTTCGTCCTACTGTAAGTTCCTAATGTGCTTAGCAGAACGCCTTACGTCATAGTTTTTACAATAATTAATTTGGATATTTTGACAATTACCGTATCGCATCAGATAGTTAATTTGTAAAACCTTGGAGGCACTCGAAAGATCAATCCTTTACGTTCCTGTTTTTTTCTGCCGAACCAATTTAAAATATTATGCTCTTTTCGATCTAAAATTGGTTGACAAAATTTCACTAGATTTTTACCTGAACTATTTGAAAAGCTACTTAAAGTCTTCTACACTTTACACTGCATTTGATCTTTGTCGAGAAAGTATGTGCGATTTAATTATCGTACATTTCGCAATGATACGATAATTATCGTTTATCTAGATACGACACGATACAACATATAATTGTCGTACCACTGCGCCGGGTTTACAAATAATGATACGATAATTATAATTATATGATACGAGAACTATCGTATCACGCATTGCGACTGACACAAAAACAGCTGTTTTCTCGTCACTCGTGCAGGCATTGGAACCACGTGTCTTATGTCATATCACATCTGGATCTAAGATCACCAATCAGATCTCAGCTGATACCGATAACATTTAACCTCAAAACCTTTGACTGTCACAGTCATAGGTCGCCGACCTCACTGTTGACAGGGATTGACGTAAACTAATTAATTGCTAAAGATGCAGTCAATATAGTTGTTTATCAATAGGAGCCTGGCTCTTGAAAAATTTGCAATTCTTTAACGACCATTAACATTTGACCAATAGTCGTATGTGCATATTATGGGGTTATCTTAGCTTTTGATATTTGGCATAGTCCATTACTGTTTCATTGACACATATATGACAACACAGTATAATTTGTATTCAAGGTGAATAATAGTGAAGAATTTAGAGTAAAAGAAATGCAGCTCTTTCTCTAGCCTAAACTAATTCAAAGTTGATGACTTTCTTCAAAATCAAGCCAAAATTTTTGATCAATAGCTGAGCACCATACTCTGTTCACAAAATTTAAGCTTTAAGGGGAAGTTCCCCTACTTCTTTTTTGCTTGTTGCAGCTAATTTGAGGTTTTAGATATGCTCAGCTGTTAAATATTGTTTTAAAGGAGTTAAATATTGTTTGTTTTATTTGTTTATTGTGTTAAATATTGTTTTTTGAATCAAATGGAGGGGATAGATTTCTTCCCCTAAAACCACATCAATTTTGTGAATGGATTATGACATAGTTAGTATTGTAATATTAAATAAATTCTTTATCAGCATCTTACATGTTATTGTGTTATTAAATTACCTGAAAGCACAAAAATATGTCAAATAACACTTATAATGATTATTTACACTTATACTGTTTACTCACAAGACAGTTATATAAAAGATGGTAAGTGGAGATCGATTTTGATTGGACACTCCAATCATCATCAGACCCAATAGGTGAATCATTCGCCTATTGGGTCTGATGATGATTGGAGTGTCCAATCAAAATCGATCTCCACTTACCATCTTTTATATAACTGTCTTGTGAGTAAACAGTATAAGTGTAAATATATTATTATAAGTGTTATTTGATGATTCTTGTGCTTTCAGGTATTGCAATAATTACGCACATTTTAAATATTTTATGTAAACATTTTCTTATATCCGTATTGAGCTTGGTACTTTCCAAGAAGTCATAAGATGATAGGAAAGTCTTGTCCCAGTTTCCAAATGAAGGTTGGGAAGTGAGACCTTGGATTAGCCATCAATCTGTCACAGTTGCATTGGCAACTAAATTATCACAGTACAATGCAACTGTCGCTTTATAAGCTGTCCTTTATTCACCTTGATTACTTTCGTTGAGGTTGTAAACAAAAGAGTATTGCAGAGTTTACAAATTTAAACAGTAACTATCAAATCTGTGAAAGCGGTCTAGGTTCTGATATTTTGATTTAATTTGACTCTCTTTTAATCACACAATCCAACAATTTAACTGTTTAAAGACACATTTTTCTTTTTAGAAAATGTTTAAACAACGAAAACTGAGGAGAGGAATAAATTTGAATGGATTTGGATTACAATTCTTTTACTGGCTGTCATTATCTTGATAGTTATAGTGGCTGGAAGTCAAAATTTCTAAATATAGCTTTTTGATGGTTAGAAATTGTACCTACCCATGTCCCCTAATAGTCATAAAGCTAAAAATCAAGTGGTGTTTATCAGCAACAAAGCTACAAAATGCATCTTTCTTGTTAGCTTTTAAAATGTGTTCCTAGCTGCATTTCCCTGACAAATAAGATTTCTTTGGTCGGAATAGTAGGTGTTAAAACCGAATAACCCACAAAACTGTATAGAATCATTTAATCTTTCTTAGAAATGAAAACTTTTGGAGCTTTGGACGATTTGATGTACTGTACTGTAGCAAAGCTCAATCCCATATATTTTAGGTTTCCACATAGGCCTAATGTTCCCTTCCTCTCATAATTATTTTCTTAAGGATTAGTGTGATAGAGTTTTCCTTTATAATTAATTGAAAGTAATAAGTTATATTTAGCTAGGTATTCGGTCAGTGTTCAGGGAGGGTCTACCCCTGCCCTGATTTTAAGTAAGTCAGCGGGATGTAGAGAGATCTAAACTCTTAAAATTAGTCAATTAAACATTTTAAATTAATCTTTCGGTACAAACTAATCTGCTTAAAATTCAACGTAGTCAACCAATGGGAGGGAAGTTTACCTTTAAAATATCAAGATTGACCATCAAGGTAAAAACCAAATTAATTTTTACCATAATAAATAGCGTAACTATGTTGAACAAAATTGATCATTTGGTTCATTCCATTAGAATTTGTTTGTTAGTTAATTTTCTTGCACATCAGATATGAGTAAATACATTGACGCAATTGAAGGTTATAAGGTCTTTGACCTTGGCCCTGGTTATTACTTAAGCTGTTTTTATTAAACTGCATTCCATGTACAGAGTTAATTAATTAAGGCGTTAAAATTCAAATGTTTTGTCTTTAATAAACAAAAATTGACCTAGCGTAAAAGAGTAAAATTATTAATGTATAATTTTTATAAAGAAATGTGAGCATCAGTTTTCATTACAAAATTGTTAATTTTATTCTGCTATTTTGCTCAGTTTAGATATATTAATTTTTTTTTCAAGGTTGGTCAAGGCTGATCCAAAAAGTAAAAATCCATTTAATTGGGGTTGCTATGTAAAGTGGTAAAGTTTATCTTTAAATTTGATTTTACAAAGGTATATGCAACTTCATTTCGATGTTATTTTACTATCGGACTTGTGGTTGTAAACATAGTAATTATTACACAGTTAATTAAAATGTCAGCGATACATATACAAATTAGTTGCGCTTAATTGCGATTAAGCCAAAACCACACAATTAAGTGCCCAAATGATTACCGATAGTAATCATTTAATTGTAACAATTTGTCCAAATTAATCAAAGTAATTGCTTATTAATTGGTATCTCATTCTAACTAGTGTCATCTCAACTTAAATTCAATTAAGAATAATTTAATGAATTTAATGGGTGATAAAACAGTGTTAAACTAAGTGAGAAAATTATCAGTGATAATTTACGAAGTTATAAAAAAGATTTTTAAATCAATTTGTCAAGTTTTGTATACTGTAATTTATGAACTAGACTACAAGAATAATTTTGTAAAATAGTGCTCTTGTGGGATAGGTAACAAACTTTCCTGTTCATTTTCCTGTCAAGAATCATGTCTTATCAGGTTTGGTTCCAATATTATTTGATTTGACAGTTTCAATGTTCATAAAACTACTAATTCTTCACACCCTCAACTTATATTCACAAAATAAAAATAATTTCATGTCAAATACCTTTTCACAGAAAAAAATTATATTCTAACAAAACACAAATTTGTTAAATTGAGAAAATCTTATGCATATAACCTCTAGGCTACAGGTGCAAATTTAACTCCTTTAAACTTAAGTATTCCATAACCCCCTTATATGATATTATAGCTAAAGTTGTTCAAAATGTGTTACTTACAAAATGCCCAAGTTATGTTACAATGCACACACACTCACACACTGCGTTCTACAAAGTGGACTCGGATCATGATGGACAAAGTTCACAGAATATCAGGTGACCTTCAGTTGCCTTTGCTTAAACAATGTCCAAACCATGAGCATCCACTCCACATTCTCATCAGCTGATCAACAATAGTTTTCCTTTTGCAAGGTTAAAATATTAGTTGAGCAAATGGTTTGTTGGAGAAAATGGTTTCAAAATTGTGAACTGCAAATTTGGGTTGATTAAATGTCACTTTATAATAATGGGGCCAATTAATTGTTGATATAAAAATGTAGGAAAGTAAAAACTGAAATAAAAGTTGAAAAGTTAATTTCAAACAACTAAAATCAAACTATCAATAGATATTTTAGTAAAAAAATTAGGTTTCCTCCATATTTCTTTGTAAGGTGGAATGGTAAATCCTATATCCAGTACCACTATACTTTTTCAATTTCATGTCCCCAGAGGCCAAAACACTATTTAATTTATATATATATATATATATATATATATATATATATATGTATGTATGTGTCCGTGAATGTGATAGTTTAAATAATTTTTGTCCGATTTCGATTAAATTTGACTTGAAGGTGTAGGGCCGGATAAACTTGAATAAGTTTGCAAACCAGAAAGATCAAGTCATGAAAACAGGGTATTATGGGGTTGTTTCAATTTTTCTTCTTTAAACATGGAAATGCCTAATTTTCATTACAATCATCGTGTAAAAAAAAAACTAATAATTCTGTAAAACAAAGTGTTGCTGTACAATTAAAGGTAACAGAGAAAATCCCTCAAAAATTTAGACCTAAATTATATTCTTATGGTGAAAAGGAGAAAAAGGAAAAGTTTTCCTCCCAGACAAGGACTTTCTTTGTATAGGAGAACTCTCTCTTATATAATCTATTTCATACAACATAAATTTCATACATATGCCTAAATCAACATTTTCATACAGCAAAAGTCATAACATTTTATTTTACTACTAGAGAAATAATATTTTAAGTTCACATAAATCAATCAAGAAGGCTTTAATAATGAACTGCAGGATTACCGTTATCATAAGAGGTGTGAGGTACAGAAAATACAAGTTTTGAATCAAGTTTTATTTAATAACTGGTAACAATTTCAGACTTTATTAATTTTGCACTTCTCTGTACACTCTCATTTGAGGTAAACTAGATTAAATACAATCTGAGGGACGGATTAAAACAAAATGCACATTAAAAGCTTGGAAAATAAATGCATAAAATATTTCTTGTATAAAAGTGTTATATTTAATTTGGTGGGTGTAACTGCTAAGTAGGGAAGACACAATTTTAACTAACTTTGGATCACTGTGAAGTTTGGATAAAAGAAAAATATTTAGTTTTAGTATTGAAATTTGTGTTTCAAATTAAAAAGTTTCTCTGCTGAACAAGGAAATTTTGAAAAGAAAATGTTATTATTCAAGAATTGTTTTAATGAATAATGATTTGAATTCTGTTCTAGATCTGTGTTCTATGTAAATTTTTAAAGTAGAAGCAGTGCTCGATTTGCGGGGAAACGCGGTGGGATGGAGTTCCGGTACCTCTCTTTCAGACATATAAAAATATTATCATAAATAGGTACTAATCACATTAAATAGGTTAGTTCCGGAATCTCTTTTTTTTACAAACCAAGCACTGAGTAGAAGCATGTTTCACTAAAAAATTAATCACCATGACCTATTTGGTCAAACCAAAATTGTTATTTAAAAAAATTAACACGACAAATGTTGCTTTAAGTACTTAAAACATAAACATAGGAAGAGACATTGAGGAAAACTTCCATAGTTAGTTTTTAAATATTTTCAATACACAGAAAAATGGCTTCGTTTGAAGCACCAAAAAAAGTTGTTGAACATTGAGTTGACATTTGAGATGAGCTGGTCATGTGATTAAGAAAGGAGATGAAGCACCCGTTTAACAAGTAAGGAAGAAAAACAAAAACAATTGATTGAAGTATCAGTTTGTGAAGACTTAAGAAAATGTGGAAGAATAATAGAGTACAATAAATTAACAGGGAAAAGAATTGGATAAGAGATACGTGGATCAGACAAAGTTAAGGGTAAATGTTTGAAGTAAAAAACTACCAAGGGTATAATTGGCCATGGAAAAAAGTTTAAGTACGCTAAAATAATATGATATATGATACAGGGCATTTTAAGTACACTTTCTCATAGCACAAGAAATGTAATAGATGTATTAGGTTTAGATTTTTTTTAATTTCTTCCTATTCGCCTAAACATTCATCTAAAAATAATAATACTTGTATTTTTAAATACAACAAAAAATGCAGGTAAACAGTGAAAATAATAAACTAAAAACAATATTTTAAAACCCAAACATTGAACAACAATTAAAATCTCTGTTGACATATCCCCTATTGATTAGCTTATACACAATACTAGTTGATTGGCACAGTGACTTGATTTTGTTCTGCTTCTTCGTACAATGTGTTAATCCGGAAATCGTTCCTTGAGGTAGTCGTAAACGTAGTCGTAGACGACCAGCATGATTGCTCCTCCTGGACCCAGCCTCATCACTTTAGGCACCAGGCCCTTGTAGAGGGCGAAGAACCTGTGGACACAAGCGATAAAACCTTTAGCTCCAAATTTTTTGCTTTACAAAACTCTACTCAGACCAGTTTCTAAAGTTAAATACAAAGTGTATTTGGGCTGTGGCACGGTATTCGCTCGAAGACCCTACAATGCAAAACTTGCAAATAAAACAAGATACAAATTTTAAATTCAGTAGACTCTCACTGATTCAGCCCCACATTGTAACTTGGTTGTGCCGGGTTAGTAGTGCCGGACTATTATATGGTAATGAGGGAAATGGTGGAGAAACATAAGAATTTAATTTATATAGCGATCACAAGGAAATCATAAATTTTTGGAGTAGAATCTTCAACACTGGATAAAGAAAGAAGTGAAGAATTAGCATGGTATATTGCCTTATCAGTAAAAATTTCTTTAGAACTGTAATAATGTAAATAAATTGGGTAGCTCATGAAAGTAATTTTTATAGGGAGCAAATAAAAATCGGTAAAGATTCCCAAAAATTAGCATCAAAACCACATACAAAAGGCTTCTTTGAGGATTTCTTATAACAAACAACTTATGTCTTTTCCATCCTTATCATGAGTCAGTGAGGTACACCTTTTTACTGTACAAAATAAGATTTTCTATTTCTTAAACAGTGGCCAAATTTTACTTATAACTGTTTAACATGATGATAAACATAACAAAAATGTTGAAATAAAAAACATTTGACTTATTCTAGGAATCTCCTTAAAACTACTTAACAAGAGTATAAACTTTCAAATTAAAAACATTAAACAAATAAATTGTCAAAGTTTCAAAACATTCGATGCAAACATGGTCAAGTAATATAATACAAAATAAAACATAACCTCTTCGTGGGAGTTATACAAAACAATATATTTACCCCTCCTCTCTATAGACGATGGCTATGGTAGCGAGAGTGCCTCTATACTTGACTTGCCCAGGGACAGGCTGTGGACCTTGTATCCGGGACTTGGCCACGTCAAACGGAATGTTGAAAACCGAGCCCATCACACCAGATACGAACCCAACACCTGCCTTCCACAGGAATGTGTGCAGAGGGTCCTGGAACAAATGAAATACTCACTGATAATCCAGGGATTTATAATCTTTGAAGAAGTTTTTTTAGCAAAAATCTGTTTGTAGCTCGTACAAAACAGCTATACACCAATATATTTGAAAGATTTCATTTTCCTTAGTTTTAAGCTCATTTTCTGTTTCATTTGGTTAGGTTTATTTGTACGTCACTACTTTTTTGTTTCACAAATTGCTTATATATATTTAACACTTACTTACTTTCAGACCTCGACTATTCAAATTCATGAGAAGAAATAGATTTAAAACCCTTATCAACTTGAGTAAAGGGCCAAAACATATTTCTTTAAGAGATCTATTTTTGACATTTTTTTTATAGGTCAACATGAAGATGGGCACCAGCAGTCACGGTGGGAGGTCACTCTGCCGTGTGTCCATCCAAAGTGACCGCGTGTGTGTAAATATAGACTATAGTGTTAGTGATATGAAGATGACTTTACAAGAAGATCCCTGAATTACACACAAGCTCCCTGAATTACACACAAGCTGGAGTTGTATAGGGTGACACAAACATCTAACCCACAAGGACTCAGGCATCAACAACAAAGATAAATCAACTGTTGTATTTCAACTGCCTACCTTTTTTTCGAAGCCCTTTAATTATCCATCGTTGATGAGGGGTTGCTTGAAAACACAGAGAAAAAGATTTTTGATCACGCAAAATTGGTCAAATACAGTATTAAAAAATATGACAGAGAAAAAAAGTGAGGTACAAAGGCAACTTGCTTATGGGACGACCATGCACTTTCAGCTTTAACTCTAGTATGTTGTGCAGGTAATATACTTGCGACAAGTTAGGAAAGAGCCTAAGCGGCAAGCAAAATTCAAATGCACAGGGCATAGGGTCTTCCTCCGGGTGTGAGAATTGTAATGTAGTACATGAGGGAGAAGGGGGTGGTGTTGGACTTAACCCTATGTTTTCTTTGTATCTTACTTTTCTGTGCAAACATGTAATGAAATTAATAATTCTCAAACAATGCACATTATACTGTACAATTAGAGAGGTTACCTGTGTTTTGGGCAGATACACTTTCACCGAGTGAAAGAATCCAAAGTAAACACAATTGAACAGTCCATTGCGGCCGATCGTGGCAGTCACTCCTTTGTTTAGACCTCGAGAACCAAATCCCTGAAATAAATATGAGAATTTAAACTTTATTTAGAAAATATTTTGTACAAATACGTTGCCTGGCTTATCTACATCCTACCAAACAGTTTAAAGTTTAAAAATCGGCACATAGCATATTTGTACAGCAGTCGTAGCCCACAGGGCCTTTTTACAGTTTTAACAGTTTAACGGTATGAAAAATTCTAAAATTCTTGAGATTTTGATATTATTTATATTCAATAATATACTCTTGTGTGGGATTAAATCTTTTAACAAAACCATTATCAATTCTGGTTTCTAAATTAATAAAATGTTCTTGCCTACCTGTAACATACTTTTACGTATTATTTAACATGCTCAGCTCTAAAATAAGTGTCTACTCCTACTCATTGGGAAAACCTTACGCAGGAAATAATTTCTCAAATATTTGAAGTAGCTTGCTATCGAGGATCGTTAAATCGCTATTTCCGTGTAGTACAACTGTTGTTCACGGTACCATATGCCTTTAGACAACCCATTTTGTAGCCCCTGTCAGTTCTTGAAAGATGCATCAACTTTATTTTTTAACACGCTTCATACCAAAAAATGTTTAATCTTCTCATACCTACGTACCTCTCACGTCTTTTAAAAATTTATTTTACAGTGATTTTTGAAATTTTTTCCCTGTTGTCCTACCTAGCCGTAACCAGTATGGGTTGAATAATGGACATTCTTCTGTAGCATAAGATGAAAACAAAATAATTATTTGTTACCAGACAAAAAATCTTTTTCGTCGTAAACACTCACATGTTCTTTAACAATTTGCTTGGTAACAGCCCATGTGCTAGGCGTGAACTGGACTTTATCTCTGTTGGCTTGAAGAGTAACTTTTACCACTTCAAAAGGGTTGACTAGTATTGCCTCAGTCACTCCTGCACCGAGTCCAGCCAATGAGAACGTCTGAAATCATAAACGATGCATCAAGCATCAAAATACTATACTTCCTGCTTTGGTTTTGTTCGTTTTAACTTCATTTGTCATGTCAGAGCTAAACTGAATAAATAAAATAATTTCGGTATAGATTGTTGATGAAATTCTGAGCCCTTTGATAGGACAACCAGAGTAGCCTAGATTATTTTCAGAAGGGCTCTCGGACTCAAGTGTAAGCTGTTAAGTCATTGGTCAATTGTATCATATATTATTCACACAAAGAATAAAACCCCTTTAATAAACAATAACTTTTAGATTGAAGATTAGGAATGGTTTAATTTCCTTGAGGTTTAAAAATGAGAAGTTTTTTTTTTTATTGAAGAAGTTTTAAGTGGATTGATTGAAAGGCAACCAATTAAATTACGACACTTAGTAAAATTGTAAATATTGACAATCAAACAACCAACATTAAATAGAGTTCAAACTTTGCAAAATAATAATCAACAACAAAACAGTGAATGACCCTTGATATTATTATCATTTAGTACAGTTCAAATAAAATAAAAATAAACAAATAAAACACAGTTAATTTACTAATGATCAAGTTACGTAAGTATCAAGCAAGCACGTGTTAAGCGCATAATGATGTGTCTTATCTAAAAAGCAACACCGATAAAAGCATGCATAATATTTATTTAGTGTTCCATTAATGTAATTGTTTGTTTGCATATTCAATCGTCAACTTTCTGACAACTGTTTACTTATAAAACAAGGTGGGATAGAGTTAAGAATAAATAAATCAGAAGAGAGGTAGTTGAAGACAGTAAGGAGCAAGAAAAAACAATAATGATTAAAGAGCTCATGCCTAGAACATGAAGTTAGTGGTAATAGAAAGAAGGACAGATGAGGGAAGGTGAAAATGTATGTAGGGAAGGGAAATATGAAAAGGCGAAAAGATACTGCAAACAATTAGGAGAAGATGGAGAGACCTAATTGAAGCCTAGACCTAAGACAAAAAGGGAAAAAAGGTAATGTAATGCATATTTATTAGGGATTTAGGGGACTCAAATTTTTGAGAAATTAGCAAGATTAAAAAACTATTGTTTGTTCGAGCGAGATTGACTTTGCTCCAAGACTTTATTGAGATGAGATTATAAAAAATAACAATTGTAACATTATAAATTTATTGTAACACTAAAATCTGGTTTATCCGGTATTCATTTATCCACAAAGGTTCTGCTTTAAGCTTAATAAAAAATATTATTGAAGCTAAATTTACATCTGTACAAAATTTAATAAATAAGAACGCCTTGGCAAAGGAAACACAACAACAACACACTCCTGTATTGCGGGTATTGCAAAGACTTTCTGAAGGCGTTTTTTTAACTGTGTACAGTTATATTCTTCCAATGAAAGGCAAACATGGCAGGTGTGCTGCAAACTATGTGAGGTCTACTAACAGATTGACTGATTGATTGATTCATTCATACGAGGAGACCTGTGCACAGTTTGCGCATTTCAATAGGGATTGAAACTCAATTCCAAGGAAAAACTCGAAAACTCATAACAAGGAGTACCCTTTACTTTTCAAAGATTATGTTGTTTTTAGACAGCTATTAAAAAATAAATTTACAATTGAATTAACAATGTACTTAACTTGTTACTTTTAGATCCACACCTATTATTATTTATCTATCTCAATCAAAAAAGTTGCCTATTTTAAATCCATTTTCATTACTAGTTTGTCTCTCATTTACAATCTGACTGTGGTTAACCATTCGACTGAAGGACAGGGCCGGATTTCCCAATAGGCCCGGGCCTATGGGCGCAAGGTCCCAGAGGGCGCACGGCCAGGAGAAAATTTTTTATGGGTACCTAGGCTATCTAAAAATAAAAATAGTCATACCGGTAGTTGTTAAAAAAAAACTCCAAAGCATTGTGATTCTGAAGTTCATAAGAAGAAATAACTGTTAGGAAATTTAAACAAGTTTAAATTAACGAACATTGGTTGTACGGGAGTAGGCTGAAGGGATGTTGACGTTTACGAGCGCCCAAGGGGTATGCATCGTATTGCCACTGCACTAGGCCACTATGTTGGCTAGGGATCAGAGTGATTAGGGGCGCACGCGTGCTAGACTTTGTTACCATAGAAGAAATATAACCTAGATGCAAGTACGACCATAGATTAAATATAACTCAAGTCGACTTCTTATGACATTGTTAATTCAACATTTTGTTCATGTTGGTGACACTGGACGTTAGTTTTGACGTAATTTTGTTTCTATTATTTTAGGGTTAGTTCTATGATATGTGTTTTAATTTCATGTAATATAAAAAGGAGACGACCTATTGTTGATGATTAGATCGCTTTATTTTGGATAAACTAGGTTTAAACATAGATAAATCATACTCATTAAATAACAAGAATTGTTTTAAGCTAATCCAAAATGATGACAGATCTACTAAAGGAGTATGTTTAATCTATAGTATCACGCACTGTATGGAGTTCATGTTTTTGGGCCTGGAATTGGAATCAATGGCCATGTTTGTTTTTTTTTTGCAGGAATGCTCGGTGCGTTGAGTTGTTTTGTTTCAGTCGCACGGCCACAAACGTAAGCATTTGTTAAAAACATAAAATTGCTAAAAGTGTTTAAGACGGCATTTTGTTAAGCTTAAACAAGTCAATTCTTAAAAATAAAAACTTGCAATGATTCCAACGAGGAGTGGTATTCAAGCAATTAACTTAGGCCTATGGGCATGATGTTATGGTTTTTAATAAAAGTTTGAAGGAAAGTAACTGTGACCAGCCTAGGGGGCGGAAAATTATTTGGGCCTAGGGGCGCAAAAATGCTAAATCCGGCCCTGCTGAAGGATCAGCTATTTAAAATTAAGTTCACATTCAAACTGTTGTAAAGAAAGTTGGTCAGAATTACTGATTTTTTTAAAACCAAGTCTAGAAATTAATCAAACTCTAGGAGGGCGCACACCGTTAAGGTCATTTCATTGGATTATAAGCTTTAAAATTACCTCAATCGTGGAGATTGGTTAAGTAGGACGGCTAAAAAAGGGATGAAGCGGGATGTACCAGAGAAATCCCTTATTGTAATTCAATTAAGTATATCACATCTAAGGCTTCTTGTTACACATGAACCTAAATGAGTGTAAATCAATGTTTGAAATCATGCTAGAACCATTAGTAAGGGGAAACAATGGACAGTAAGTAGACAGGGGAAATACATCACACTAGAACCATTTTGTGTTAGTAAAGGAGAAACAATGAACAGTAGATGGGGAAAATACGTCACACAAAGAAAGCACGCTTGCAAACCTGCTCGGACTTAAGACAAGAGACAAGGACGAGATGAGTCGGCTACTTTACTTGCAAAGGCAGTAGAGCATACCAGAGGTGTCGGACTGGGAGCCCCGAACAGGAAGAACCTTTTGTACTGCTCAAACGTCAGGAACTGCAACAGTACACAATAGCAGTTACATGATGTTTACTTTACAAGTAAAGGAATCACCAAACCACTACTAGGCGTGGCCAGATCACAGGGAACTTCTGTCAGGGTATTTAGAGGCTATGAGGCCCCTTCAGCTCATATAAAAAATGCCCCTATTTTCTTATACTTCAGTGGCTGGAGCTTAGGGGATTTGCATGTGATATTGTTTCAACTCGATCAACTCGACCCTTCATTTTAAACAATCTGATCAGTGAAAAGGTCCGCTTAATTTTTTATAATACTATTAGGCGAGCCAGATTGATACTTAAAAACGGGTCAAAAATGTTGATTGTGTCTCGGGCCATTATCAGGTTGGGTCAAAATCAGCTTAGCCTACTTTGGGAAGTATTGATTTAAAAAATATTATTTCTGATACTATTTATTATCGTCTACTTCAACTGCAACTGCAGCAAAATTTAAAATGAACGAAATTTGTTCTTGGTCACTATGAAATTGTGGACATCTTTCGACACAAAGACATTCTCTACATGTCTCGGGGACGCGGGAATTGTGGAGATCTTCCGCGATTGCAAAAATATCACTATCGCGTCCTGTGATATATTGTGATTCTCGACACCAAAATCTTAGCAGACACTTTTGGCGATTGTGGCAGTAAAAACTCACCTCAAAAGTCAACCCCCGTAACAAATTATGGGTGAAACAGAATATTAAGAAAAAAACAAAGATTTAAAGGCTACAAGTGAGACCCCTGGCAACCGCTGTTAAGGAAATACGATCCTGCTTGGTCTACTTAGAACTTATTAGATTAAAATTTGGATACATAGATTTAATGAAAAATGATTTCCCTTTTTTCAATCCAACATGTGTGAACTGAAATAAGATTTCTAAGGGATATCTGAACTTATCACTCATTTACTTGGAAATTTAATTTATGAAGAGTTAAAGTATTGAAAACTAATTTTAAATACTGAGAAGGTTTTCTTAACAATAGGGTAGAATGCTCACGGTTGTATAGTGGACTAAAAATCTATTCACTTTCAATCTTCACTTCTATATTCTGATATTTTGGGAATTGGGTGAAAATTTAAACCATATAATTTTGTCATGAGTTAGCACGCAATACATTACAAAATTAATGAAACTAATCAATTCTGGCTGGGTAATATCTACACTAACCTTAACAGCTCTTTTAGGTGTCTCGGCAAGAATGGGTGGAAGTATGCCTTTCCAAAGTGAGAAGAAGCCTTCCGTTCTCTGCATCTTGCGGATGCAATCGAAGACTCCTCGGTAGTGGTTTGGATCTCCGGGCTTGGTGGCTTGCATCTGTAGTCGAGTCTTGACAAGGTCCAGCGGGTGCATGATGCATACCTCAACAAAACCTGCGGACAAAACAGAACAACTCAGAGGGTGGAAGACTGTAGAAACAAACCAAGCGACTACAATGTAACGCTTGTGAAACCCAAAAATGTTGTAGAAAACCAGCAGGATTAAGAGCAAAGAAGGAGTAAAATATTATATTGAACAGAGGGAAGCGAAGCTCATAGGATCGATTTTAATGCAAACGTTCTTATATACTCAATAGAATAACATGGGAATTTTAAATTGACAGTTTACTTTGGAATTCTCCTTGAAAAATCAATACATACAGTAACTTAACGTTTTAATACACAAAATTATTTTTTTAGCTCTACAAAAATGTTTTGAAAAGAAATTGCACAATTTTATGTTTTGGGTGTCGAAAATGGGAAAAACCCAATTTTTATACCCCATAAAACCATGTTCCTATCACAAGCTGGCAAACTCATTCAAATAAATGTAGGTTTATATGTTTGTACTGAATATAATTAAAATCAGACTATTTTTTTGCTAACAGACCTCGTATAAACATAAATATATGAACAGAGGTTGTTTTGGGCCTACAGGGACATCAAAATAAAAAATGTAATCTGTCCTGGGTCCAGATCTTACCATGAGACATATAGTAATGTATAGCTCAACTCGTAATACAGTAATGAGAAATTCCCTAAATTAACACAGTCGGAATAGACCGCTGACAGAGAGTGTTTCAGATTCAGAAACACTTTATTCAAGATTTACATTTTACAAATATAAATGCAGAATGGTGTCAATAAATACAATTAATTCTAAAAAATATTATCAAAATGCTCACTAAATGAGTAGTAACATTTGCATATTATAAATATTTTTGATTTCTTTTTAAATGTCTTAATATTATTAATTTCCATTATATCTTTAGGCAGAGAATAAAAAAACCTAGTACCTGCAGCAGTGGGTTTTTTATTATAAAACTCTAAATTATGCCTCTGGATGGCTGGGTAGTTCCGATGCCGAATATTATAATTATGTGTCATTCCCAATTTCGGAAGTGTATGTGTATTCATTTCACTTTGAAGGTTAATTATAGTTTTATAAATATATAATCCATACACTGTAAAGATATTTAATTTAGCAAAATAATGTTTTGCCGATTGGTTTTCTCCTAAGTTTAACATGATACGTATGGCTCTCTTTTGTAAAATTAATATACTGTCTAAATTTTGAATGGTTGTTGAACCATATAATTCAATGCCGAATGCAATATGTGAGTTTATGTAAGCATAGTAAACCTTCAGTAAAACATTCAACGAGCAGAGTTTAGACAAGTTGTGCAGCATAAATAGACCTGAACAAATTTTACTTTTTAGTTTATCAATGTGGTACAACCAAGATAAATTTTGATCAATTATTAGTCCTAAGAATTTAGTTTGAGTCACTTGAGTTAAGTAATTGTTATCAATTTTTAAATGAGGTTTTAAAGCTTTTTTTGGGCAGTTGAAAAATTTATGTAGGGTAATTGGTTTTCTCTGAGTTAAGCAATAAGTTTTTGCAAGATAAATATTCAGATATAGATTCAAGGCTACTATTGCCTATATATTCAATGTCATTTTTTGATTTACCAGAAACTATTAAATTTGCATCATCAGCATAGAGGCATAATTTACTGTTTAAGTTTGTTAGAGCTGAAGGCAGGCCTTTTATATAACAGAGGAATAAAATTGGACCAAGAATAACCCCTGAGGGACTCCATATTTGACTTGTTTTAGAGATGATTTTACTTTAAGTAATTGATTGAATTCTGTAATCGTATTCAGTTCAACATATTGCTGCCTGTTTTCTAAATATGATTTAAACCAATTTAGTGAATTACCAGTAATACCAAAATGTTGTAATATTGAAATAAGTGTCTGATGCGAAACACTATCAAAAGCTTTACTAAGGTCCATGAATATTCCAACAGAGTTGTCACCTCTATCAATAGCATCAATAATAGTCTCAACTAGATCAATACCAGCAGTTGTTACAGATTTACCAGACCTAAAACCATGTTGTTCTTCGTCAAATAATTCATTATTTTCCAAAAAACTTACCAATCGGGAGTACATTGCACGCTCGTAGAGCTTAGATATATGGTGGGCAATATTGATAAAGGCCTGTAATTTGATGGTACTGTTTTTTTCCATTTTTGTGTAATGTTTTGATTCTAGAAATTTTTAGTTTATTTGGAAAAATTCCAGAAATGAAAGAGTTAATAATATGTACCAAGGGTTTTAGTAATGCGTTTTTAGAACTTTTTATAATGGGCATTGGAATCTCATCGTAATCTCAATTATTGATTTTTGTTAAATAAAAAATACTTTTAACCGATGACAAATTTAAAAGTATATCTTTAGAAACTTACAAATATTTTGTTATAGTAAATTTCATAACTGTACTAAAAACCGAAAGGGGAAATGACATTTTTACTTCAAAAGGATCTTTGAACTGGTTAGGCCTACTCACCTATGTTCGATTTTAATAATCAATTGGTCCCTTAAAAATGTCTAGGTTCACCATCATAAAATTCATTATTTTTCATTAGCTTTTTAGGTTGTAAGTATAAAAATGACAAAATAAATCAACCAAAGGCACAGACCAGAGACCATTGAACCTGTTTAAAAATCAGCTTCCACATTGTTTAATTTTTTAAACCACTCTGTCTGTTCTATTTATGACTTTTTCATGATCTAAGAATGTGATCAAGACAATGCATTAACTTATCTATTTTGTAAGAGAACAAACAAAAACGTCAGTACGGAGCTGATTACTGTAAATTAGAACAGAAACCACAGACTTTTAACACCTCTATTCCACAGTCTTTCATTTATTCAGAAATGTTAAACTAATTGTCACAAGCTTTCTAATTGAAGAGTAAACACAATCAGAAAGGTAAACGTTTATTTAGTCTCTGAGCGTGTGTGTTTCAAGTTATGACAAAAGTGGAAGGATGGAAGACAGCTGAAAATTACACAAAAGTAGTTTTAGCATAGCACGTTTTCCTAGTTCATCTTGGTTTGATAAAATTGGATACTTAGCTTGGAAAATACATTTAGTATCAGTCATATATTATATTTACCTTCGTTGTTGTTTTTGCCTGAGGAGTTCTTGTGTGCAAGATGTTTGTGTCACCTTGTGCACTTTTTCAGCTAGGCACATTGAATAATTCTGTATCTATTGATTTGGTAGAGTATAAGTTTATATGAAGAAATAATGTGCAATAATTAATTGAGTAGGATAGCAGAATTGCTTAATATTTTAAAATAGTTCTCCTAACACATAGAAAAATTATATATCTGATTGTAAAAATATTGACACAATTAAATTTTTTCTCCCGCTTACAAGAAAATTGCGATTTTGAAACCATTTCCCTCTCTAAAGTTTTAAAAACACAGATAATTTCTGATAAACCTGAAATAAACTCTTCATTTAAAAAATTGGGTAAAAAAATATTTACACTGAAAAACAATGGATTTTCACACACCTTATCTAACGTTTTCAAGCAAAACCTAAAACAAACTCGACGCTGATTGATGCAAAACAATGTGAGACGCGTTTAGCGTGTTGAGATGTCGACCGCTAAGTAATTTATTGGTGACATCACGGTCTGGCTGCTGGTCAGTAGCAGACGACAGAGAATGAAGGAGAGTCAGCTGGCAACCACAACGACTACTACATTACCTGTCATCGTGGTCACCCCTCCCAATTCACAGGTGCATCATCTAGTTGTGTATGTTTGTAACTTATTTTCATATTTTCTGTCTGATTTGTTTATATTTTACCTGCCTTTTTGTGTCTGATAAGTTGGAATTAAAATTCTGTTTACTTGGTCCTCCCTCCCATTTTACAGACCGTGAATCATCTAGTGTTATTATTTTTATTTCATACTTATTTTTAAAACCTATTAAAACCAGTGTAAAAACGTTTAAGAGGCGGCAGGAGTCAAGCGGGACGCTCGCTGGTCTACTCCGCGCTTTAACATGGGGACGAGACAGTATATGCAAAAAATAATGAGAACTTGATTAACTTAACGTAAAACTGTTTCCAACAAATGATTAAAGTCAATCGTACGAACAAATCCATAAAAGTTAAGTTGACAAAATCGTACTTCTAATAATTTATTTTTTGTAAATACAAAATCCATTTCTCCATAAGAATTTTGTAATATTTCAACAAACTAATTCAATTCCAATGCTGTACACAAGTTTAAGCCATACTTTTTAATTACATCTCCTTAAAGCTTGAAATTGTGACAATAATGTTAGCGAATTATAATTTTTGTAAATTATGTTAAAATAATTTATTTCCTAATTTTAAAATTGTGTTACAACTGTCAGTCGAGCAGACAACGGATCACGGGCCTCGGTAGTTCGGCGTTCAACTGCTAGAGTTCACCACCGTCGCATAGCCCTTGGAGTTGTCAAACTACTAGCGTAACAGCGTTGTGTTGTGTGACATGTGAGGAGACGTTTTTCTTTACCGAGTTAATTTTTTATTTTTAAGTGACATGGGACATTTAAAAACATTTCCATCCAGGAAGAAGAAAAGAAGAATTACTGCGTGTTTGGCAGCCTTCAATGCAAGAAGAAAGTAAGTAGACATTTACTATTACTGTAATTGCAATCAATAACACGTATTAATTCATATGAAACCATATTTCTATAAAAATCATAAAATATAGGCTATTATTTTTCGATATATTGCAGCAAACTCATCCATTTTTAATGCATGCGTTGCGGGTCTAAAGTAAAGCATTTTTAGTCCCTAGGGAGGAAATATCAGCTGTTGTAAACCTCTAATTACTGTTAACTTACTAAACAAGTGCTTATTTGCATTAGCCGAATTTAAAACACGTACTATGTCGTTTTGATAGGTTATCTGTACAAGAAAAGTATTTTCGTTTTCTGATTCGGTTTGTTAAATAAGGTTTCAATATAACGAAAAAAATCATTGTGCCAGAATTAGTGGCAGCGGGGCTTTACCAGCAGGTAACAGATGTTGTGAGGGATATTAGCCGCCACAGCCGTAGTCTGATTACGGACGTCACTAACAACACAGTTGAGCATTATAACTTGCTTGTAGCAAAATATTTTTGTTCAATGTGTCTAGTCGACTTTCTGTTTTTTGTAAATACTGTAGTACCAATTTTTATGTAAATAATTTAATTTAATCGAGAGTTTTACATATTTTTGTTCTATGTATTTAAAAATTTGGCCCTTGTTTGTAATGCCTACATTTTCTTTTTAACGTAAATAATATTATATTAGTTAGTTCATTGGTTTCTTTTCATATGTCAATTAATTTATGACAAATGTATTTAATGTGTAAATTTTATTTTTTTTTGTTATATTTCCACGTTTCAACAATATTAAAATTTGTATTGCTCTTTTGTCACATTTCAAAACGTAATCTTTTGTACAGTATAGGTTAAAGTTAATTTTTATTCAAATATGTTTCCCCGTTCAAATAGTTGTACTGATTTCTACTAATGTAACTGTGACCCTTTTCCTTCTTTTGTAATGCCTAGACTTTCTGTTTTATGTATATACTGTAGTACCAATTTGTATGTAAATAATTATATTTAATTGCAAGTTTTATTATATATTTTGGTTGTATGTGATTTAAACTGTGGCCCTTGTTTGTAATGCCTACAGTTTCTTTTTAACGTAAATAATATTAGTTAGTTCATTGGTTTCTTTTCATATGTCAATTAAATTAAATGTTCATTTAATTTTTAAATAAAATATTTTCTTTATGTGAATATTTTTTTTACATTTCCAACTGAGATTCTTTTATTTAAAAATCGTAAATTTTTTTCATGGTTAAGTAAACTAAATTTATATAAAGAATATAGTAATTTTTGAAATACTTATTTTACTAATGTGCCACTTTACTAAACATATTATACAACCGTGACTTATACTCGTCTATGAATTTTACGTTTTTAATAAATTCATTTTATTAATTTATTTGAGTCTTATTACCATAAAATGTGTTCGAAGAGGTTAATTTATAGCTTTAAACCACATTATCTATCTTTCATAATTATAGTTGAATTTTTAATTATAAATTGAAGTCAATTGGTGTAATCTATAAAAAGGCAACTAAGAATGTAAGATTAATTTTTATTTGAAATGCCTACTTTATGAAGAGTTGATAGTAGTAATCTGGATGCAGTTCAATGAATAACAATTAGGGAGAATGCAAGTTACGTTGGTTACGCACGCGCGATAGTTTGGCCGAAGGGAATTGTATTTAGCTTTGACTTCAAAATCAACTGTTTCGAGATTACAGTGAAGGCCGGCCAAACTACGTTCTCTTTCTTTTGTTGTTGGGTGGGTTTTCTATGGTTTGTTCTGTTCTGCCCTTGGCAGGAGGGCTGGTAGTTCTAACATTGAACACCGCGGGTGGCGCTATCGCATTCTCTGAATTGAATTCTGTCAAATCACCGATATTTTTCGTGACTCCTGCCGCCTCTTAAGAGGATTTTGTTGAAAAGTACAAAGAGCATTCGGGTTTTTCTCAAGACTGATATTTCATTTAAATTACTGTAGCCTACTAACTTATAGTTAAGTGCTAATTTCATATAAGGAAATTATTTAAAAAAAAAACTCACCAGCTGATCCCCCGGCACCTACTTGCATTGCCGCTTGTTTAAAGAATTTCTTCACGTCAGACGACATTGTTCTAAACAAACACACAACTGTTAGACAATCTTACAGAGACGTTACACTCAAGTTGTTGGAATACATTGAAAGCCAGACTATAAAAAGCTGGTGACGTCTGTTAATGTGAGCTAAATAGGGCTTGTTACAGATAGACTTGACTTAATGGTCACTCTAATAGCATTTGTTCAAGATGGTTTTGTCAATACCATTCATGAAAATCAAGGTGTGACTTAAAAATAAAAATAAATATTAATATTAGAGGTGTTGTTACTTACAATTTACCAGTAATGTGAATGTCTTTATACAAATCAATTTCCTACATGCTTGAATGAACACAACACTATAAAATATAAATTCTTCACTAAAGTAAAAAAAACTTCCCTCACAGTAACATGTTTACAGTAGGCCTGTACATTTACTGGATTGCAAACATTTTAGAAAAGTTTAAAATCATCAATCATCAGACATTTTAGTCTGGTTTGGACCCTGAGTACTTGTGAAAGTTATAACAATACCCAAATTCAAATCAATCAGTTTACTAAGGTAATTCACGCATTTCTTTCTTATGTGTTCTTAAGTTTTCAATGTTAAATAGGCACCTTTGAGAGTGTTAACGTGAGGATTTCGATTTACTAGCAGTGAAATAAATTAAAAGAAACTAGGATTAGTACTTAGTACCTACCATAGACAAACTAAAAGAATCCTATTAATAATAATGAATTAACAATATCATATTACATTTTGTTTATCTAGATAGGTACTCCATTTCTAAAAAAATATATGAAAAAATAAAAACATTGTGAAACCGATATTAAATAAAGGTTATTAGCAATCTGACACATTTCTAGGTTACGTACCTTTTTTTATTCCGTCGTCAGTCCTAAAATAGTCAAAAGGTGACTAGTTTCGGGTCAGAAATGACCCATTTTCAAACCAATTTTTCATCAAATTGACTGGTCCAAAATCCGACAGAAGTCTTTGTTATGAGGTACAAACACATGTCGACACATAAAGTTCACACATTTACGACACAAAGCACATTTAAAGAAAGTAGCCGGCTACATTTTATAAGAGACACACTGACGCAGGTAGCACGGCGGACACGACGGAACCGAAACTAGTCACCCTTTGACTATTTTAGGACTGACGACGGAATAAAAAAAGTTACGTAACCTATCATATCATTCTACATCAGTCCTGGTGGCAATAATGTTTCAAATATATTAGCATGTCAAAATCCCACAGATGGATAAGCAGGGAGAAATATTTGATGGGGAAAATCTAAAAAATTCAATACATTTTTTAAACCCTAATATTTTCAACATTTGGAGTAGCATAATTTTGTTAAGAATTGAAAAGACCATAACACACTAAAGTTCAATCAAAATTGTTTAAGGAGTTTTTGTTAAAATCCTATTTTTCTGTTAAAGGCTTATCTTATAGGAAAATCACATTTAAAAATCAAAATTTCAAAAGCAAAGAAAAAACTCCTTGAGCTACATTGGTTTAGCATCACATAACAAATATTGTCATGATTGGACCACAGAAAACTATCTATGAAAGGCAAAAGGGTCTACATGGTATTTTTTTGTTATGCCTTGCAAACCAGTTTGCACCCGTATTGAAATGTGCAATTTGGTTCCCTTTGTCCGACATATACTTAATACATTAGGGGGTTTCTCTAAAACATCCCTTTTAATTCACCAGTCCTACTCGACCGATTTTAATCATTTAGGTATAATTATAAAGCGTATGATTTAGCAGGAGGGAGGAATGCAATAAATTGGCAATTTAATTTAGGGCTCCCCCTCAACATTTAATCTAGGCCTATTACTAGAGTTAAATTTTAAAAATCAACCTATGCCGAAAAATTTACCAGATTTCCAGTGTCAATTGTTGGCACTTTAATTTCTCTAGTGTTTAAACAACTGCTTGGTAATAGCAGTAATAAGGATAGCATTATGCATACACTGAGTTCATACATTTTGACAACTTAACTGTACAAAACTTAACTTGTCACAATTTACATTTTTTTACATTTTTGTTTTTAAGTTGCGGAGAGTAATTTTTATATTAGATTTTTGAAACATTTAGTACAATAATCAAGTTTAATAAATTCTAATTGTTTTATCACACTAAAAACTAAATGTCTTCATACTGAAGTTGTAATGAAAAACCAACTTTTATAATTAACGTGAATTGATTTCCAGTTTCTACTCTCTGTAAGGTTTCTTTTATAATTTGACCAACGGTTATCACTTTAGAGTTATCACATTTCAAAAATCATCATTTTTGTTCACTAGATTAGTTGGTCTTTTTCTTGAAAACAGTTTTAGTTACAATGAGCGATAAAGCTGTAAAGGTGAGTATCTACTTTTTTATTTCCTTAGCTTTTTTTTGTTTTACCCTTTGGCCTGTACAAAATTAAATTGTATCAAAAGTTATCAGTGAAAGATTAAAGTAGCCTACCATATATGAGGGCCAGCCTATGATAAAACTAGAATTATATGAAAATGTAAGACAATTTATATAATTTAAGTAGAGTATAATCGTGCACGTGTTAAAAGCTTTGGGGAGTTTGACTGTAAACTATTAAGGTAGATTTAAACTTTAAATTCTGTGGGAATGAGAGTATTAGAGAGAGTATAACTGGTGCACCTTTTATTAAAGAAACAAGATCTTCCGCAACGTTCTTATAGCAATATCAGAATTTTAACAAACTTTAATAATAAGATAATAAAATCAAATTCAACCTCAAAACAAATTAAAAGTGGGCTGTCCCAAAAGTTCTGTTCTTGGGGCCTTTAATCTTTATGAGATACCTAAATGACATCACAGAATAGACAGTTAACTCGATTTTCTGTGGTGTCATCATAAATGCCTTAATTCATACACAAAATACAAAACTAATACTGTTAATACTGTTCTATGAAATGTTGACCATACAAAGTAGGTATTTTAAGCCAAGTATGAATGAAGATGTGTGTAGGATGAGTGGCGCGATCTTGTAGTCCTGTTAGTGACTAAGGCAGACATTCCTTAGACACAGCTGTTAATTAATAGTCCATACAGCTAATGGCAACTAAGGGACCTACAGTTTATAGTGGAATCCGAACCACATTTTTGCCTTGGTAATAACGAATTGGTCTAATTATCAGGATAGTACTTGGGATAGTCGTAGTACTCACCCGTGCGGACGTTAATCCACACTGGGGAGTATCCCATCCACAGTGCATGCCTATAAATATCCACAACTACAATAGGCTCTCTCTTATCCGGACAATTTTTATCAGCACATTGGTTTAACCGGACCAGATCGGCAGGAAGTGGGCGGTACTGAAATGACTATTCTAATGGGAAAGATTTAAGACAAGTGATCACGTGTCTAAATACAATGTTCTTCTCCTAAATTAACGTTGAATATCACAGTAAAAAGTCTGTTATAACGAGTTTTCGGGGACGTCGGTTTAACCGGAAAACCCGTTATCCGGACTGGCCTCGGTTCCGAGGAGTCTGGATAAGAGGGAGTCTACTGTATGTCTCCATGTGGATAATTTAAAAAATAATTTTCACACCTGAGTGGCGGGGACAGAATATTTTTTTTAAAGTTTTGGTCTAACATTGGACCTATGAAGTAAGGAAATAAAATGCTCTTTACAGATTTGTCATTAAGTGTGTGTAGAACTACTTCTATGGAATGTACCCTTGAAGAATTAATTATCTTCAGGAGTAGGAATACAAAGCCTCTTGTCTTTTTCATAAATTTGTATTCAAAGTACATTATGTTGGGAGGTTGTCAAACGAGCTAAGTTCATTTAAACACATTCATCCATGCATGAGCAATGTTGAGGTGACGGTGTTTCAGACGAACGGCAATCAGAGGTTTAACTCCAAATCTATGTTTTCCCTTCGCAGATACGGTACCCAATATATATTAGCAATGACCTCTTCTCATTAAAAGCCATCCTTAGAACTAAAAGTCGCTCAAGAATTGCACCTCTTGCGATCAGGTTGCAAAAAAACATTGCTATAACCTGGTCTTGCTAAATTATGTGGCCCCGTTATGTACCTAACCTAGCTTTTGTTTGTAAAAGAGTGTTACTGTTAAAAGATGAGTGAAATGGAAAATGAAAAATATTGTACCGGTACGTAACCCCCTAGATATATTTTCGGGTCAGGTAAAATCTTGTACGTTACACGTTACGCAAGAGCGTGTTTCCTTGTTTACATCACTTAGGTAAATTATGCAACTCTCTTCCGCTCGTTACACAACATTCACCTGTGTGATGTAAAAATGCTCTTACTACACTTGTAACGTAAATAGCTATAGCACGATCCCTATCGACCGTGGGACCAATTTACTTTTTCATTTTGATGTCCCCAGAGGCCAATAGCACCATTTGTCCAAATTTTTTTATAGGCTATGCATATTTCTTTATAGGTATAGGCCTAGGCTAGAGTTTTATATGTGTATATGAACGCGATAACTCGAGTAATTTTTGTACAATTTTGATAACATTTGGTTTAAAGGTGTAAGGCGGGATAAACTTAAATGAGTTCGCGAACCAGCATGATCGGTAGCATGATGGGAACGGGGTTTTATGGGGTAAAAATAGGTTATACAGATAAAAAAAAAATTCGCTTAGTCAGCAGGTTTGCTGCAGCGGGGGTATTACATTAGTTTAATTATATTTCTGGGTCCTAGGTATAGTCAATGGTCCTAGGCATAGCCTACCAATATTGTAAAGTTGTCATGGTCCATAATTGGTTCAATAAGCGAGTTATTAACTTATTCCATGTTTAAAAATTTTCTTAACTTATTTGGCAACCTAAGGTTAGGTTAACCTCAGATGTACATAAGATAAACAAACACAACAAATATGCCAGTCATTATTCCCTATTATCAGGGATGACCTTAAACCACTATTATCTAATACACTTCAAGTAGGGATATAAGAAACTGAAGTATTTGTCGTCTTGGGTAGCAAACCAATTAAATTACTATTTCTAATCGATCTAAAATATTACTTAGCCTACCTTGTGTTGTGATATTGCGTGACACTTAGGTTATCTTTGCTATTCTCCTAAAAATCCAAAAATTGCAGCTGATTTGCTTGTTTACTGGAGGAGTTTGAAATTCAAAGCAGTAAATCAATCATGAGCGTTCGCAGACGAAAGGTAAGATTATTATTCAAACAAAATTGTTAATTCCCTTGATTGATTCGAATTTTTACGTGTCAACCAAATTACATTCCATTAAATTTGTTCAAACGTTCAAACTATTTATCAGCTGTTGAACTTGTACATAAAAAACAGTTTGTCAAGAATAGTCCGTCGTCATGTGTGCTCCAACGTAACAACCCTAGGCCTACCTTCCAAGTTTGTGATAATATAATTAGTATTGTTTCAAAATGATAGTATTCTTTTAGTTTATTCTTAATTTTCTTTTACAATACTATACCTTTCTTCCATTTAAAATCTTTAGTATGCACTGGTAATGGCACCACTTTGTGGTTATTTAGTGTTTGCAAAATGTTGAGGTTATGCTGGGGAATCCAAGAACATAGGCCTAGCCTACAAGGCACTTAGCATTTTTGTAACCTTGTTATTTTTTTTACGCCAACAAAAGATTGCTTTGTGTTATTTTTTTTTTTTATTAATAATTACCAAAAAGTTGAAAAGTCAAGTTAGGCTAAGCCTAGGATATCAGTGAAATGTCATCTCTCATCCATCTAGCAAGGAATCCCAGGTATCCCACCTATGAAAAGGTAATAAATTTCGATCATGTAGGCTATCTAATTCTGGTTTTTGAAACTTATTATATAATATAATTCTAGGACTAGGCCTGTTAAGTTATCTACACCTAACTTAAACATAAGTTAAGTTAGGCCTATGCCTACTGTAAGCGTACAACTTGTTTGCCAGCGGTGTGTGGGGGGGGGGGGGGAGCGGTACCAATCTCCCACCGCAGCCATAGTTGCCGTGGCATTGGTCGGACTAGGCTTTCTAAAAACATTCAACCAGCGCTGTTCACGTTGTTTTCCTTTTTTGCGTACATTTTTTTAAGAATATTATTTAATTACCATACAATGTAACTTAATTACTAAGGGTTCTATATTATTGTTTTGGTACTGTAGTAGAGTAGGCTAGTATAATTAATTTTGATTTAAGCTTAACTATGTTTTTAATTATTAAATTTACACCAAACAGTAAAATCGTAGTAGGCCTAAACTTATACATTATTCCAATTTATTTGTAAAAATTTACTTATTAGGTGTAAACCATTAACCGAGTTAATAGGTGATATCTTAAGATATAGTATTTTACGTAAAAACACATAGGCCTACAGATAAGTCATACTTACCCTACCTGTAAAAAGAAAACCAAGGTTATACTTAATTATGGAAATCTTTTGCTTATATTTTCATATCATGTAGGGCATACAATAAATAACACTTTAAAATATCGGACGGTTTTTCTGAAGACCCTGTAAAACGATTAATGGCTTGCAGTTATTTGTTAGCCTATATCCCTAAGTTAGTTGATCAAACGAAAGTGGTTCTCTTAATGTCGTGAAGTATTTTATGACCGGAAGAGTATTGTATTCTATTGTGTTCTATTGACTGTCAGTTTATTGGACTGTGTTGTGGAGTTCAGTAGTGCGGTTGAGTAATTATTGAGTGATTGTTAAGCCGTGGGTGAAAAAAGTGTTAGAACTTAGATTAATATCATGGCAACTGCCCGTAAAAAAGGGCAAACCATCCACAGTGAAGCGAGAAAAATAAGACCAACAGGCGCTGCGTGATGGTGTTACGCATCAGCTGGGAGTAGAAGTAGTATCTAGACAACATTTTTAGGGCGACTAGTAGCATATTACCAAGCGCCGCGCTGTGGTGGGGGAAGCGTGGCTAAGGAAGCGGTGGAGGGGCCACGCGCAAACAAGTTGTGCGCTTACAATGTGTTATAATACCTTAAAGTACCGGTAATCATAACAACAAATCTCATGATAGGTAAGGTAATAATGAGTGAAAATTTTGAAACGTACGTTTTAATATCCCTGGCCTTTTATTTTGTGGATAATGTATTTGTAGTCCTATATTATTATGTGTTTAAATATTTTTTGGGATGGGGTAACATGTTTCAAATATTTAAATATGGTTTTAAATAGGTTCTAGGTATTTTTTTGTATTTTGAAAGTTTCAAAATTCACGACCATCTCGTGTCATAGACAATAATTTGCTCAGTATTGTATAAGTTAACTATCTCAAGAAACAATCTAAGTTAGGCCTACTACCTACATATCGTAGAGGTTCTGAACTTAAAATATAAGTTACATGTTCAAGCTTTTACTTAATTAGTTCTCGCCCTTACAGTTGGAACTGCAAGATGAAGGGTCCCCAACAGCTCCAAGACGAGTTAAGGTTTATGGTCCGAGCCGTTCACAAAAGCGTTGCCTCGTATACTCAACCATTTTTCTACTCATCACATTAGTTTTCGGTAAGTGTTTTAAACTATTTTCTTACCAAACTATATGGATGAGTCTTTACACTCTGCAAGTTTTACTTTGAAACCCAAGGACTGCTGATCCCTAACTGGAAAACATTATAGAAATTGTTGTAAAATTAACTCAAAGCTCAAAGTAAGGCTGAGTTAGCCTATTATTATTAAACGTTCTTGACTGATGTGCTGTTGTCTCAGTGTACAGTAGAGTACCCCATCTGACCTACTGGCAAACCGTTAATTACCCTGTTTGCTGTCTAGCGTGATAACACTGATCACGTTTTCACCAGCCAGCACTAACTTAGCCTTCTGTGGTCACGACGAAATCATGAACATCTTTGGAGTTTACGTCGTCATCTTCCTCTTCTTTGATCGTGGAAAACCATAGGCCTAAGCATCACTTGTGATCCTGACAAAATCGTTAATTTTCAATCGTACATTTCTGTAAACGCTTCCCGCCATCGGGGAAACATAGGCTCGGTTTAACTCGACTCAATCATGGCCTGATTGTTGTTTTTTGTCCAACCTGATCCTTGAGGCAAACTGTTGGGCTAAACTGACCTGTAAAAATAGTAAAAGGAACACTTGGCGACTGGAAATCACGACCCAGAAATAATACATAAAATTTGTCACCCTGTAAGTTACATCATTAATTTTTGTAGGCCCTACCTATGTTGAAATTTCACATTTAAGTTAATAGGTTTTCTGAAAGCAGCTAACAGTGGTTTAAAAGTGATTTTATGGGCCTACGCCTAAAAAAAATATAAGAAAAAGATTTGTTGATAAATATACTCTCTCGATATCTGACTTTTTGGCCGTTCCGACCATCTTCTGGGCCTGTCAGATACAAGGGTTTCTATTGTACTATTGTTTTAGTGTTGTTTTCTGGTTGTAGGTTACTTACTTATCCTCTTATCTACTTCACATAAGACTGGAGCGATAGACTCCATCCTACTGACATTGGGGCTACACAAGAGTGTTTACGCTATCGTTATAGATGCTGGAAGCACTGGTTCTAGAGTCCTAGCTTTATCCTTCCATCAATCTTTGCTAGGTAAGTATTTTACACCACCGTAAATGTTTACACAACCACCTTGTTAACACGTTGACTTTAGTCGGCACTTCCGTGTGGCACGTACCGACAATAAGCGCTGTAAAAGATCTTACATTGGTTCACTGTAAACCTTGCCTTTGGCGAGCTTAGTTGTTACTGTGAGTGACACCAGCTCTAGCTTGTTCATGCTTGTACTAGCGAGTTTAGTAACTTATAGGTTAAGTGTATAAGATAAAGTGATTAAGTGTATAAACACCATGGAGGATTAGCAATAGGAGAACGTAAGCAAGTGCTCTTCAGAAATGATGAGTGATTCAGTGTTGAACTAGACGTTAAAAGCTGTTCACGTCTGTCTGTTGCTTTTGTGAATGTAAATTTAACTTACAGTACCGGTTAGTGCAATTATTGACATTTAATATGACTAGCCTTAAGGAAAAAATGTATTAAAATTCATGTTTCTGGCCCCTGGACTATATTTTTACGACAATAATAGGTTTTTTACATACCTCCGTAAATAGTCCAATGATTAATATTGCTTAGCAGCTTACATGTTTTAAGCTTGTTATGTTGCTTACAAGTACAATAAGAATTACTAAATATAATAGATCATTTATGGTAAAAAATATAAAGCCGAAGGCTATTTCGATGCTGCAACATTAATAACCCAACAATAACAATAACCCAATTCTGTTAAGTCATCGTAAGACTTCCTTAATAAATTCCTTCTTGCTGCAAAATTATCAGTCTATAAGAGATTCGGCCCTGTCATGTCCATATTTTTGGACCGTATGACAATACTTGAGCATGTTACATGTACAGTTGGATTTTTTTAGCTAGAAGCGGTTAAGGTTTGGCGTAATATCTTGTGAAATAGAGACGTGATTCCTAATTCCTAATCAACTAATTAATAAGTTGTTATTTAATTATTGTCTTCGAATTATAAGTGATGGTTGCTTTGAAAATAATTAATTATATGAGCAAATATTAAATTATTGAATCTTCTTGGAAAATTAATGTCGATCATTTTATTAATAGAATAATGTGGTTGCTGTGACTAGGATGCACATAAAATAACTGTTGGTTCACCACGTACAAACAGGATAACGTTATACGATAGGCCAAAGAAGCAAGATTCGAGTTTGGTTCATAAAATGCAGTAGCCTAAATACTGGATGTTTTCTTATAAATTACCGTCAATGAAATATATTAAATTGATTCATTTGATCTTAAATGAGCATTCTTATTTTAGTAATACAACACGGCCCCTAGTTGCCCAATTATTGACAACATGCCAGTTGCTTTGTTTTGATTTAACCTCAAAATTTGACACATATGATCACATGATCGCAGCCAAATAGGTTCACCTTCAAAGATATTCCATCACACCTTAACCGCTTCTAGCTAAAAAAAATTCAACTATATATTGACATCTTTCTGATTACTATGGTAATAACGGTAAATTTGGCCCGTATAGCATCCACGGCTGTGTGCATTGGCGCGTTGCTAGCGTGGCAGGCGTCCAGCCATACACACCACTTTCAGTGTGGCTATTACCTGTATACCTGGCTATACCTGTATGAATAGTAAAAATATAAGTTGCAATGGCAACTAAAGTTTCTGCCGACATTGGAGCCGTAAACAATCTACAACCATTTACAACTTACAATCTACTACGCAATGGCATAACTACATTGTATAGTAACTAGTAAGTAATCTAAAATTTATTAAATGCCACTTTGCTTGCTAAGTTTTTTATAATAACGAATTTGTGTGGCAAAAGTACGTCAATAAAATTGTTAACGTTGAAAATTCTGTAAATACTTCCGTGATAGCATGGATACAGACATTTTATCACAATTATTGCAATGGTATTGTTCTTTTCAGATAGCAGTTTGAAATTAGATGATGAGTTATTCGTTGAAGTGATGCCAGGACTCTCGGCATATGCTGCAGAACCACATAAAGTAGGTATTTACTACTAATTTACTGCATAAGCCATTTATTTGAAAAAGTACCTATGAGTAAATAAATATTTGGTAATAACGGTAATTGTCATGAAATACTGATAAACCTATTATTACTTTAAAGACTGAGGTATCATCTGTTCTTTAGAACACATTCACCTTTTGCAAAACTGCTAAATGGTGATTTTATATTTTTTAAAGAACGTATTGTAGAACCGTGAATGGGTCAAAACCTATCCACCACGATATCCTTAAAAGTCCTGGCCCAATGCTATCTTTATAAAGATATTGTCCTATGGACTAAAGAACAGTTTTATCAAAATGACCGGGTGAGTCGGTGGCTCAGTCGGTAGCATCACGGACTTCGGGCCCAAGGCAGCGATGTCGTGGGTTCGGATCCTGGTCACTGCCTAAAACATTTTATCAGTAGGTACAGTTCACCTTTGTACTGTACCGGCTCTCCCCGTGCTTTGCTGGACACGTTCCACGCATGGGCGGTTAGTCTATGTGGAAGGGCAAATTCAAGGTTAAAAGAGGCCGCCAACCTCTTAAAAAAAATAAATAAATAGAACAGTTTGGAGAACAAATTGACTGAATAAAATATATTTTTTTATGCAAATATGAGTTCTGAAGAGTATTATATACATAAAGTAGATGAAGAACTACACAATTAAGCAATCATCTATTCTATAGAATTGTCTATTCTATAGATATGATTGCTAGTGCTGAATTGTTAGGTTGTATGTTCAATATGTTAAAAAGTAATAGATTTCAAAAGTCTTAAATTTAGTGATGTTATCCTAAGCCTATGCATTAATATCGAATGGTAGAACTGTTTTATTAATTGATAGTCTGTTTCATAGGCAAAAGAGCAGATTGAAATACTGCTAGAGAAGGCGGAGACATTCATTCCGGAGAAGTATTGGTCAAGCACACCTCTAGTGTTGCGGGCGACAGCTGGACTTAGACTGCTGCCGGAGGAACAAGCCAATGAGCTATTGCATCAGGTTGGTTTGTTACGGTTGATATCTTCTTTTTCATATAAGAAACGTATACTACACTTTAAGTTTGGGATAATAAACTATTTAGTTGACGAATTAATTTACCTTATGTGTTGTGTTCCTGTTTACCATTACTTACTTACTGCCATGGCCACTTGTACCCAAGCTGGTACTTGGTCACACCAACTTGTTGTCGCCAGTTCTCTCGTCTTCCGAATCTTCCTCTACTAGTCTCATATTTTCCATATCCTTCCAGACTTGATCCCACCACCTAGCCTAGGTCTTCCTCGGAGCCTCCTCCTACCCCTCGGATCTCCCCTTAGTACCTTCTTCAACAATTTCTCCTCATTTCTCCTCGAGATATGGCCCTCGGAATTATTCTCTTAACTTCTTGGTTGTGGCGGATTCTCCATACTCCCATCTTCACACACGGGACCATATATAGATCTTAGAACTTAATTCTCAAAGGTTGTAGTTTGTTGATTTTCCGTGTTTTTGCTCAGGATCCGATTTTCCCCTCCATAAAAAAGTGCTGGTCTAATTATTATTTTGTAGATTCTAATTTTTGTTTTACTTGATAACAGCTTTGATTTAATTTGTTTTCCATATGCATGCCAACTTTTATTTGCTGCTTTTATCCTATTCTGAATTTCTATGTCTTCTGTATTTCAGATAGTAGGCCTACAACACCTAGATATCTAAAATTATTAACTCTTTGGAATATGTGGTTGTTAATTTTGAGAAAATTGGCATTATTTCCATCTTCTTCCCTTGCTACTCTCATAAATTTTGTTTTCACATCGTTTATTCAGTTTCATTATATCTCTTTAATATCTCTGTCAAAACCCTCTTCCTTTTCTGTCATCAGTACTATGTCATCCGCAAAAGCCCATATATTAATATTTGTCCTAGTTTTAGTCCTAAGGGTAAATTTTTACTGTTTGTAGGGCTTTCTCTAGAGCAATATTGACCAATTTTTACCATTAAAATATATAATTTGATTCTTGCCTATCACCCAAATATTTTATTTATTTGATTTGTGTCTTTAATTAGTTCAACTGATTACAAATTGTACAGAGTCAGTAATACATAGGATGTACCAGTGCCTTAAACTTATTTTACTGTCAAAACTGTTAGCATGGCAAAAACAGTAAATTTGAAAGTACATTCAGTGAATGCAGGAAGCAGAAGCAAACAAAGTTATCAAAGGCAGTTAGTGTTCTGTGTTTGCTCGGCTGCCTGAGCCTGATATGAGCTTCTGTCAATGGTGTGCATTTAACAAAAAGATTTTTATGGTTTAACTTTAACACCGAGTTTTATTTTAACTCTACAATGGTTTATGTAATTAAATTAACTAATCATACAATAATGTGTCGTAACTTTTAAGTTAGCGATATTTATCGATTAGTATCATTTCAAAAGATTATTTTATTTTGTAAAAGTTCAATCGTATAGACTATAGAGCTACAAAAAAAAAACATTTTGGCAATTTTTTTACTACAATTAAAAAATTCCAAATGCCTTACACTTAAAATTCCTATGTTATTCTTACTGAGAAAAATAAAACTGTTGTGAATTGCTTGTTTATGGATATATATTGAAAATGTTCATAACATTTGGCAAACTTATTTATTTCATCCAATATAATACAGTAGACTCCCCCTTATCCGGACTCCTCTGGACCGAGGCCAGTCCGAATAACAGTTTTTCCAGTTAAACTGATGTACGCAAAAACTCATAAAAACCAACTGATTAAATGCGTATTTGACTTAACTTTAGGAGAGCATTTTATTTTGACTTGTGATCACTGGTCTCAAATCTTTCCCACGAGAACGGTCGTTTCAGTACCGTCCACTTCCTGCCGATCTAGTCCGGTTAAACCAATGTGCTGATAAAAAATTTCCGGTTAAAGAGATGTCATTTCCGCCGAGTGTAGTCCGGTTAAAAGGTGTCCGGATAAGAGCGAGTCTACTGTATTTATTATTTAATATTTGGTTAAAGAAAAACTTCCCCTTCCCCTTCTTTATCGTATTGTTAAATAATGTCTAGGTATACTTTTCACAGGTCCGTATTTTGTTTGAAGAGTCGCCGTTCCACACAACGGATAATTCTGTAGCGATCATGGATGGTTCCGACGAAGGATTGTTTGCATGGGTCAACGTAAACTTCCTTCTAGGTCTGTTAAATGTATTTAATTGTAGTATTTTGTTTAGTAACTTTAATAAGTTATTTTACTTTGGCAAGAATTTATTCTGAGTGCATTTTACAGAGGTATGTGCATTTTAGTAGAACGGAGACTTAGGAAAAAAATTATTGTCAGTGCCATTGATCAAATATTGTGATATTGAAGAATAGATTACAGCATAAATATTACTTTTGATATAAGATATAACACTGGAAATCAACACAATCTATGATCAGGCAATGGGAAACATGAATCACCTTTATAACTCGAGCTTGGCAAATCTGAAAACACACTTAATGTCAATATTCATCGACGTTTAATGTTTATTCAAGTGTTTTACTTGTTCTAGATACTGATCTATTTTTGTTCGGCAATCAACTGTACTTTTGTTTTATTCTTGATCAGTTTGCGTTATTAATTATTGTTTGTTTAGTAATTTGTTGCTTTTAACTGTTACTCTCCATTTTAAAATATGGTGATAGATTAAGCATGCATGCAGTGAGACTAATATTTTTTTTTGTTATTTTACTTATTTTTATTGAAATATTGAAATAATTATTACCTTTGGGGAAAATTAAATTGAAATTTAAAACAGCTCTACTCTGTACGAAGGAGCCTGTCTACCTGGGGACTGGCCAATGGTTTATGACCAGGACCAGTTCCAGGTAGATGGAGGGTCAGGAGACAGGTTTTATCATACAGACTATATATATACCTATATATTATGTTGTATATATATATATATATATATATATATATATATATGCATAGCCTAAAGCTAAGACCTTTTTATCAAATAAAATGTTCATGTCCGACCTCAATCCAATTTTTGAAAAATCTAATCGTATGTTTATTTTGTGTAGAAAATTCACAACTTACCTAAACCGGTGCCGAATTATCAAATGTGTTAGGTATCACAATTGTAGGGGTTTCCCGTAGGATATCGTCTGCAATTTTTTTATTGAAGTCAGGTATCAATTTAAAAAATATCCATTTTTGTAACATCTATATTACATTTTTGCATTTATAAATTTAATCCTATTGTTGGTTGTATTCCAGACAGGTTGTTCGGAGAGCCGAGGCAGATGTTGGTAGCCCTGGACCTCGGTGGAGGATCTACGCAGATCACGTTTCCTCTAATCTCGGAAAAAGAACACTCACAATACTCGAGTGAGGATGTTCACCCAATGCAGATGTTTGGTCACAAGCTGTTTGTGTATAGTCACAGGTAGATTGAATTTGAGACATTTTCTTTGGTGTGAAAAAGCCTTTTTGATCGACCACGTTGGTATATGAGGGTCGATTTTTTTAATAAGGTCTATTTTTTCGTATAATTCCGTAGTTTGTGTGTACGCTGCAATGAGACTCACTGTTTACTGGCATCATTGATGAACAGACTGGTAGCTGACGTGTATGCTCTTTTTTGTGATCGTGTTTAATCCGCAGTGTGGTTGGATAATCGGGAGTCTACTGTAACATAAAATATTAAAGAAAGTATTTTACAAAATGTTTTGACATTTTCAGCTATCTTGGACTAGGGCTGAACGCTGCTCGTAAGGAGATACTTCTTCATGGAAACCCGACAGGAGCTACGCACCTGGCCAGCGAGTGTGTGAACCCTATCATCAAGAACAAGAGCTTAACCTACGCAGGGGTTGAGTACAAAGTGAGGTATGTTCGGAATTAACTGGTCTCACAACTATGTGGATTTTTTATGCTCCACCTTCATATCCTGAACTATTTACATTACAAGTTAGGTGAAGTTTTACAACATAATCACTTAGATAAATTACCATTCTAATTACTATCCGTCTCTTTGCTAGATCATAAGCTTAAAAATGACTCCTCAGTCGTAAAAATTGCTTAATTAAAAAGGGTGAAAAATGGATGTTGCAGAGAAAAACTTTGTTTTAACATTAGGTGTATAAATCATTATGTTGACACTCAACATTCTTTATTTCAGTGGCCCATTAAATCCAGAAGTTCTGAAAAAGAAGAGAAAAAATATTGAAGGGGGCGTTGAAGAAACCCCTATAGTGAGAGTTAAGGAATGCTCTGACATTATAAAAAACTATATCAGCAGACAGAATATGTTGAAGCCTACTGAACTTCAAAATTTTGAAATTATCGCATTTTCCTACTTCTTTGACAGAGCGACTGAAGTAGGGCTTATAGGTAAGTGGTTTTATTCTGTTCTGCCTCGATGTACTTGTACTTTAAGTGCATGTGTAATTTGAAAGAGTATGTGTTGTGCAAATTTATACCTAAGAATTCCAACTATCCGAATTGATGGGAACCATTCAGGTAGCCTAATCAAAAATTATAATAATTTAATTGTTACCCAAATTATGAGTATTTTACAAATAATAGGCCGAGTCAAGCCAAGCTTTTACTGCAGGGATCCCAGAACACGTCTGAGAACATTTTGCGAAAATTTCACGCTTTTGCCATGATTACAAAGGACGATTATGATTTCTGTAACCCTAGGAGACAAAAATTACGTTTACAAGACTGAGGAAGATATTTAAGATTTTGCCGCATCCACAGAAAAAGATGATGATGTTTCTGTGACCGTGGGAGACAATAATAGTGTCTGCACAACAGTGGGACTGCGGGATACCACGATGGTTTATACAAGATCGATGTGCAAGATTTTGACGCGATCGCGGTAATTAATGAAGTTTTTTGTGACTGCTCCTACAAATTTATTATGTCATTCTTATCTTAGTTATGTTTTTTATTTTTTTGTTGCAGATCCCTTTACTGGAGGAACAGTTACTTTAAAAGATTTGAAGAGGGAAGCCACTAATTGTAAGTACCGCTATATCAACTTTGGAGATTTAAATCAAATTTCTTGATATATTAAACTAAAATTTCTTCCATGGAAAACATTTAGGCCTAAGTGTACAATTATTTTTGGAAAGCTTTGTTATTGTGTAGCAAAAGGTTGTTCAATTTCCAATTATAAACAGCAATTCTCTGATACATGTAAGTTTTTCAGAACAACTATTTACACTAACCAGCACACAAAATACTACTGCAATATGCTAGTATGATTCTGTGAATGAATCAAACAAATTTTTAACAAGTTTTATGTTGTTATGTGTGAATTATTGTTAACCGAAATGAACTGTCATGCATAGATTTGCATTACAGTGTCTTCACTCATCACTTCTACATGTGTTGGATCTTTAGTCACCTGGTTAAAACAATCATTATTCTTTCAGCTTGCCTAGACCCAAATGTGGACAGACCCTTCATGTGTGTTGATCTTCTATTTATAACTATTCTATTAGAAGACGGATACGGTATGACTCCCGACACAAAAATTAAGGTAATGCCTACAAATTAATTATTTGCCCGATTAATAGTAAAGTAAAAATAAGATGTTATTTTTCATACGGAAAAGTCTACAGTACCCAGGAGATCGGGGCAGTCAATGAGACCAAACATTGGCATCAAGATGTCCGAGTGACATAGGGATGATATAGAAGGACTTATCCACGTACTTGACTGGGGTAGGTAAAACCAAGCCTCACTCAAGCAATCACATGCAGGTTTGGATGAATTGGTTTACACACAGAATTAACACCAGTAAATTAGCTTTTAATAAGGACCAAACCCTAGATTTGTTTCATCACCATCTAATTTCTTACCTAATTGTTCTCTCAGATCGTAAAACGCATCGACGGCCATGAGGTCAGCTGGTCATTGGGTGCGGCATTCCACATCCTCCAGAACGGAGTATAACAACGACTAGATTTAGGTGAATTTTACCACTTGAGACCATTGTGCCTTTACAACACACATGGCTGTTTTACTAACTTGTAGGCTTAATAGGTGATATTTTTTAGAGTGTTTTATTTTTATGAGAAACTATTACAATTTAAATATATTGAAAACTCATTGAAGTTCTGCAAAGAATAGTTAAGACTGCCAATGCTTGTGGCGATTTGTATAGTTGAAAAAGCGAAAGTTTCCTAGTAAGGAGGGAGGATGTTGTTTTTTTACTGTTTATGAAACCTACTGTCCTAGTTTTTTGTATAAAATATTTGTGTAATTAACGCTTGGGAAACTCTTATAGAATGGTCCTTGATACTGGTTGTGCTCACAAACAATACATCACAAAAGTAGAAATTTTCGTGGTCTTCAACCAAAGTGGTCAGACCCAGGTGAGCCAGTGACTATGAAAATTTCTACTTTTGTGATGTTTATTTTATGTGTCTCTATGGACTTATTTTAAGGTAGACCTGCTTTCCTGTCAATTTCCTTTACTATAAACACTTTTTTCAGTTAGCTAAATGATGATTTTCAGTCGATAAATAAATAGTCTTCAAATGCATTTAATTACAATTCAAAAGTCAGATTTGTTTAAGCCCGTTTCTTCCTCCTCCTCCATGTTACCAAGTACCATCGAATGCTGTTACAAAAGTGACCAATGCTCTGTGTTGTTTTTACATCAGCTTTTTAGTGTAAGATTGTAAAAAAAAAACACAAAAATTAACTAGACCTTCTTATACATCTGAAAAATGTACTTACGTTAAGTTAACACTTAGAATCTATAAGTTGTTCCAATAATTATTTGAAAGGTCGCTTTAAACACTTAAAATAATATTTTAAGAATCAATGTTATTTCAATTCTTTAAAAACTTTGGTTGTTTCTCTCAAAATTTATAGCTTTAGTCTTTTTTTTTTTTTTTTGCTAGTGTTTATTTACCTTAGGCCGCGGTTTGCATTGATTTGCCATCGGCCCGAGGGATAATTGCTAACTCCATTGAAAACAACGCTTTATATCATGTTTTCAAAATCAAGACAAGAAGGTTATGTATTGATAATGTGTAGCTAAATAAATAATGTTAGTCTTATCATGAACACTTGTCATGCTCAAAACCATTCCATGATTTGGTGCTAACTGTAGCCTATTGTTGATTGAAATTATGTCTTAACTGCATCGGTTGAATTATCTTAGATTAACCAGTTCAAAATTTTTGAAGTTATCTTTTCTTTAAGATTACTAATTAATAAAGCCCATGAAAATTTTCTTTAAACGCCAATTATGTCTTAAGGTAGACATAATTAAATTAAATTTACATTATTGATGTTTTGAACAAAGCATTTGGTTAAATTTATATTGTAATTTGAATGTTTTTCTTTTAGCGAATTTTCTATATAGGGAATAACTCCGAATAAGCTATTACCATATGTCTTATGGTAAGACCTAAACATAGGCCAGTTCACTTTTTCGTTTTGATATCCCCAGAGGCCAAAAAACCATCCGGTCAAATTTAAATATATATGATATAAGTGTGTGTTTGTGTGTGTCCGTTTGCACCATAACTCGAGTAAAAATCGTCCAATTTTGATGAAATTCTTAAATTGATACAAACGTGTAAACCTGTATTTATTCAAATGAGTTTGTGAGCCAACATGATTGGACATGGATGGTTAAATATATAACTTAACTTATAACTAACTAAATATATTGTATCGTTATACTTACTACCAGTAAATTTGTATGGTCTCGTTAACATTAAATTGTAATACACTATGTCAATTTTAAGTATGAGATGTTAGTGAAATTTGTACTCCAAAGTTTAGAATGTCTATTTTTGAATTGCCTGATATTCAATTCAATTTGTTACTAGTTATAAATTGTTATCATAAAAATCTGTACTACGTTGAAATTTAGATAATTTATCTATTAATAAGTTTAAAATTACTTAACTCACTTGTGTTAGCCAATATAAGTATAATTGCTGTTAAGGTTTTACTAATATTCAAGAACAATCTTTTTTTGTACGTTTTCTAAAATGTTACACTTTTATGTGAGGGATTCACTATTTATATTGAGGTTTCCTTTTGAAATGTATTTTTTCGTAAATATATGTGTTTAAATTAAAAGTTTTATTTTGTGTGTCAAATGCTGTAAAATTTACGCTGATACAGGGTATAAATGGAATTTAAATGTTAAATGTTGTTTTCTAAAAGAAAAATAATTATAATAGAGAGACAATCAGTGTAGTATTGTTGAATGTTTTCATCGAAGATGTTTTGAATAAATGTTTGTTGTTATTAATTTGAAATTGTTTCTCTCTTCTAAAGATTTAAGAACTCACCCTTTAGGTTTAAGAACACAGCCCCGAAGAAAGAGACTTACAACACCATTTAGAAGCATGAAGTACTGTACAAGATACAAATTATGTCTTACTAGCTGTCCTGACAGACGCCGTCCTGTCCTAATGTGGTTCTATGTCAAATGCACGTTTATTTTCAAGATGAGCTCGTTCGCATGGGTCAATTACGTCCTGTTTAAAGTTTGTTCGCTACGCTCACTCACCTGTACGTTGGAGCTCGTTCGCTGCACTCACTTGCCTTCAGGTTAGCTTGTTCGCTACGCTAACTCGCATCCAGGTTGAAGTTCGTTCGCTACGCTCACTCACCTTTTGGTTGCAAATTAGCTGTTGCTGTTGTCATAAATTAAAAAGATAATAATAGTGCTGCACCCTGTTGGTAAACCTATTAACTTTTTAATGCTATTGAACATCACAGAATCAATTTGTTTAGTTGGACCAGCTGTTAAGATTTTTTAATTCCATTTAAATATGAGTACTCATTAGGTTAACATGGGAAACTCCAGAACCCCTGGGGCGGAGCCCTTTTGAGGGATCTGCACCAAACTTCAAACAAACCACCCTTGAATAATGCTTAATAATGTCTGAAAGTTTCATTACAATCTGTCGAGCGGTTTCGGAGTCCATAAAAGACAAACAAACAAACATACATTGGATTTTATATAATATAGATTACCAATGAAGAGGGTGGAAGAAAAAAGTTCAATTGGGTTTAACCAGAAATAAAAACAGTTTTATTCACTTTGTAAAGTTAACATTACAAAATAGTTGTAGCCTTGACTAGTAATAATTAATTCTGGCTTGTACAGAAACACAGTGTTTAGACAATTTCATCACACAGTTTGAAACTTAAGTACTCAGAAACTATCAGAAATGCATTATAAAATTTTGAAGTAACAATAATACAAAACGTAATATGGTGCTTTGCAATAGAGTTTTTGAGAAAAAAATATACAACAGACATGTTAAACAACCTATTTATAAACCTGAGTTTAGCCTAAACAAGTGCTTAATGGAAGTAGGGGTAGTGTCCGTAGCCGAAGTAGGGGGAAGAGTAGGCGAGAGAAGAGATAGGGGCGTGGTAAGGTAGTGCTGGGGCGTGCGAGATGAGGGGGGCATGGCTGACAAGGGGCGCGTGGGAGACAAGAGGGGCATGGTAGGCCTCCAGGGGGGCATGGTAGGCATCAAGACCAAGGGGAAGCGGATAACCGCTGTAGCCGTATCCGAGGGCGAGTCCACGTTTGGTCTGCGTCTTCTCTTGGACAGGGGCAGCGAGAGCGGTGGCCATCAGGGCGAGGAAAATCTGTAAAAAAACATGCATAAGTGCTGCAGGTAGTTTAAAAATTAAAGGAAAACAGGCTTTTTACCTGATGGCTAAGGTACTGCAAAGATTAGAACTAAAACAAATACACAAATAAAATGGTGGAACCAATAGCTGATATAGAGGAAATCAACTACAGAAGATGTGGAAGGATTGACTGAACAATAATTATTGCATTATAGTCTGTATGGTGGAACCTGTCTCCTGATCCGCCATCTACCTGTGACTCGCCTGAGCTGTTAACCATTGGACAGTCCCCAGGTGGATGGTCAGGAGACAGGGTCTATCATACAGACTATAATTAAATGTAAATGTCTCTGGGAGAGCACAGTGACGCTAAATTGATTCCTAAAGATGGCCCCAAGTCCAAATGGTGTGGTTTAGAATTAATTATGAGAAAAAATTGATAAAATTAAGCTTATTGAATAGAATTTGTTGCCATTCCCTGTCTCTAGGTTTGTTAAATTGTCTTAAATTTTCAAATTGTAAGTACAATATTGAATTATAAATTTGTCGTAAGCCTTATAACCATTTTTTTTTTTTTTGCTTTACCCTAAACAAACAAAAAAATTAGAATGTAAGTTACCTGAATGGTTTAGGTTTGTACATATTGAGACGTTGATACATGTGGATGTAGGAAAACACAAAGCAAGACATAAAAAAATGCAATACCAATGTCAGTGAAAATTTTGAATTGCTTTTGATGAGCCTTTTTACTAATTCTACTGTATAAAATAATTTACACTAATGAATACAAATTCAAAGCAACTCAAAAAAACTTGTGAACGGTCTCTTTGACAAAATGTTTCTGTTTCATAAAGTAACAATCAATTAAACTTATATATGTCTCAGCAATAAATGTTCCGATCTATTTTAAAAGCTATTTTCAGGATTTCTCTCATGATTTTAGAATTGAAAGAAATATAATGATAAATACCAATAACAAATAACAATAATTTTGTCAACAAAAGTTATGATCAAATTGTTTACTTTACTTTAACCCTTTAACTATACACTAATACATCCATTACCTTATTTTGAACATTATATACAATAATATTTCTTTTAAAAACGACCTTACAGTACTGATTATGCTCCCATTATTATATTGTTGCTAAAAACAAAAATGTAAAAAAAAAACAATTTTTTCTTTGAATCACAATCAAAATATGGTCAAAGTCACATCAAAGGAAGTTAATAAAAATGCTTACTTTCAGTCCTAAGAGACAAGTATTTTTTTCTAGAAACGCTGACAAAAATGGACACGCTTCCTATTTTAAATGCATTGATGGTTTGATAGTGTAAGAACACTTCTCATATTGAAAAAAAACTTAAACCTACTTCTAAGCGTGTTTTATGTTTAGAGTGGTGGGCTAATTGTAATAACTTATTTTCCTTTAAAAGTATTTTATATAGAGGGTATGCCGTAAGTAAACAGTGAAAACTCCGGGAAATGTTTTAATTGGTCAAAATAAAGAGAATATCGCAAGATATATTCTATTTTGGTTTTTTCGTACCGTACCTATTTTAAACGTATATCTCTAAAATAATTAAAAATATCCGTTTACTAATACAGTATGGTATACCATTTAGAGTAGCAATAAGCTTTATTTGAAAAAATAACGGAAAGTAAATAAAGATACGTCTTATAACACTTCAAACATATATTTACGCTTATACTGTTATTCACAAGACGGTAAATATACAAAAGATGGTTAGTGGTGATCAATTTCGATTGGACACTCCAATCATCATCAGACCCAAGAGGCGATTGACGTATGAAAAAATAATCATAACCAATTTTTTTTTTATATTGGCAACCATATTAATTTTTATATCTTAAACTACAAAAAATTTGCGGTTTCATGAGAAAAATGTTTAATACACTTTTATATACCTAACTTTTTTTCATCAAATTGAAAAAGATTGAATACTTAACAGCGGAAAATCACAAATTTTATTTGTTAAATAGGTACAACTAAAATAGTAACAAAACAACCCTAATCAGAGCAATTTAAAAAACATTGTAAAAGTAACAATTTTTTTAGTAAACCAGGGTACTCACGCAGATCTTGTACATGGTGTGAGATGGTGCTACTGTGCTACTGTGAGATGATGGTGCTAGTGTGATGTGAGTTGCCGTATGTCAGGTGCCTGTTATATACCTTCAGTTGCACAATGACTGGGTAAGGCAAGTCCACTTGGACGTTACACTTCCATATACTCCCCAGCCTCTGTAGCTTCGATATACGAGATGACACAGATTAGAATTTACAATTTAGCTGATGATTTTTGTTTTGTAATCCTAATCCTAGAGATGTAGAGAGGTAAATTTTGAAATACGTAATAATTCTAGGATCATAAATCATAAGTGAATGGGTTAAGGGTAAAGCATTTTGAATCTCAGACTCATTTTTAACTTTCTATATAGAAAAAGTCGTTGGACTACATTGGTGATTTTTTTTTTTTTTTTTGTCTTTTCCACAAAAATTATTGGACTAAAGGTTTGGTTTAATTTAATTCATTTTGTTATCCTTTTCAGAAGTTTTGGTCTTCTCTTGGGTGTGTATATTTCTTCACAAGCTAAAGCAAACTGTTTTTCGGTAATTTGAATTAGTGGTTTAAGTGTACATTGTAAGTTTATAAATAGTTTGTTTCTTACATCGTTGTAATTTATTGTATTTACTTGTAGAAACAATAAAGATTTATTATTATTAAAAACACTCTAGATCTCATGGTAAGACCTGGCTGGACCCGGGACCGATTAATTTTTTCCTTTTGATGTCTCCAGGGACAAAAAACACATTGTTAAAATTTGCATATTATATGTACATACCACGATTCTATATTTTATTTTCATTCTGTGAAATCCTCAAAGGGCTTGTGTTAAAGCACTTCAGGTGGTTTTAGTTTATTTAGAAAACTATAGGGATGATATGAGTAGAGACGAAGTGTGTGTCTTGCCTGCCATGATTTAACGAGGTATTTTGAAAAAAGTTATGGAATTTTGGAAAAAAATTACAATTATCCGTCCACACCAAACGCCAGTTCAAAATTTTCTCAAACTAAATTTAGGTTTATTTGGAAATTACAGACCAAAGTATTAGGTAGACGATTAAGGTAGAATTTAAAAAAGACATTTTCGATCTTGTAACCACAATATAATAAATGTTTAAATTTACTAACTAAAAATAATATTTATCATGAAGCAATTAACTGTTTTGAAGTTTTTTTCCTATTCAAAACAAAATTTTATAAAAGAATCCGTAGGGTACCTTTAATGTAGTAGATGTGTATGTAGAAAAGGTTATACCCATTACGCCATTATGGTTTCTTGTGAAACCATTAATTATTAGGCTATTGTTCTCAATTAAACTTCATTCAAATTCCAATAAATTTTCCTTGATTATTTTTCAACCATGTTTTTACCAAAATATATAGGTACTGTAGGGAATAACAGAATATAATTCCTACAAACTATTAATTTAACGTAACCTATATTTTCTATCTCAGTTTCCATTAGTTAAATTTATGTAGCCATGTCATTCTCAAAGTGGCTGTAATAAACTCTTAAGGATTATTACAAGGGACCATACTAACGAATACTTACCATATAAAGATACATTTTCATAGTGATATCCTTACAAAGTGAAAAATATTACATTGCGAGGGGACAACAATCACTACGATATGTAATTAACTTGTAGATGTAAATCAGTACAGAAAACTGGTTGAACGAGATTTACAACTATAAAATGAAATGTCAAAGCATTCGAAACTAGGTTGTGATTATTTCGCGTGCGATGTTTAGTGTATAGTTTAGTTGAAAAAGTTAGGACACTACCCCAACAGCACAATGGGCTTGCTGGGAACTTGTTCCAAGTCCATTGGCCCAAGTTCCCAAGCCTGGTTTAGACTTAGGGACCAAAGTCTGTAGGCTTGGTTTTGACTTGTTTTAGAGACCGAAGTTGGCAGTTGTTCAACTTGTTATGGGTTTGGCTCCCCAAGTCCAACCCAAGTCCCAACCCCAAACCTACAGTGAACTCATGTGCACAAACCCACTCTAAGCTTGGAATGATGGATACAAAACGGGTCTGGTGGATTAAGCAGGCTCATTATGGACTTGTTCGGGACTTGGAGACCCAAGCCCAATTTTAGTAGGCTCATATTGGACTTGGCTTAGACTCACATTGGAATTGGTTTTAGCACATTTTAGACTTGGGCAAACAAGCTCACACTGATAAATTAAACAGGCTCATTATGGACTTGGAGACCCAAGCCCGCTTTTAGTAGACTCATATTGGACTTGGCCTAGACTCATATTGGAATTGGTTTTAGCACATTTTAGACTTGGGCAAACAAGCTCACACCTATAGACTCACTCAGAATTTGGTACGAAGTTTTATATACTTCAATTACTGTCATGATCAGAGATAATAATAATAATTATTATTATTATTATTATATGCTATAGTAATAGTAATATAATTTATACCTATTTAACATATAAGCTGTTTCACACCATTCATTTGCTAGCCCACATTTTTTCTTATAATTAATTTTTTACCAAGAAAGATTTATGATAAAATGAAGCCTATTTTATGAGTGATCTTGAAAAAATATTCGTTATATATGAGGTTTAGAAAGCAAGACATTCACATTTCAAGACAATTTATTAATATAATAAATACAATGCCCACTATCTTCCACTTGACCTTCAACTTCTTTTCTGAACCCATCAACTCCACCGCCTGCTTCAGAAGATCTATAAAAAATACAATTGCATTAGAATTATTTGGTTTATTAAAATTTATCATTTAAATCATTTTTCATTATTTTTATTTGTTATTATAATTATTTGATTATTTGGAATTTGTTGGTGTTGCAAACACAGGGTGTTAACTTACCTTTGTTTTTAAAATTGTTATCAAACTTTTATTTCTTACTATTTTACTTTTATACGTAAACTAATGGTTTGGCCTGTTTTTATCTGTAGACTAGGTTAAGGCATTGACTATAATGGTTAAGGTTAAACACAAATTTTGGCACTGTTCTGTTGAGTTCAGCAGTGTAGACTATTAGAGTATAGTATAGTGAGTGACGTTGTCGATTCAGTGAAGCGCTGAGTATGTCAAAGGTTAAAGCACAAAAGGTTCAGGCTATAAACAAAATTCTACGGGTTCTTGATGCAATGAAATTAATTGTTTGCTTAACTTAGCTTACTTATATCATCATAGACTAACCAACACAAGTATATTTTTTACAATGGAGTTTAAATCTTACCTTTACAGGAATCCCTTCTTCTTTGCTTCGTCTTGGTATCAAAACCATAAACAAAACTCACAACTAGTAACGAAACGAGTAACTCACAACACCAGAACTAGATAAGTGAGAACTGACAACTGAGAGTGAGGAAGTCTAAATCCAACAAAAATGGTGGTTCAGCACAAAGAAACAGGTTTTAGGAGCGTTCTGGGTAGGGGTGGAGGGAAAATTCTTTTGTCATATGGCACTGCTCACTTTAGACTCACATGAACAAGCTTGTCGTGGGTCTGGTTAGGTGTTTAAATTGTGGACTTGGCCAACCAGGTTATATATGTAAATAAAACAAGTTTAGTTTTGGCTCATTCACACAAGTTCACTTAACCAAAGCTGTTTTAAATTTGTAGTGGGTTCCAAACTCCAAGTTTGTCATACCAATTCAGAAATATGTAAAAACCAAGTTTGGTCCAAGCTCACGTGCTGTCTGGGTAACAATAAAATAATGTAAATTTTTTAATACAACTGTATATGTTTAAACAAGCATAAATAACTATAACGATTACTAAAGGACGATTTTTAATACACAACGTTAATGACTATGCGATACTATAGAATATTAGAGTAATGAGAACATACTATGAGACCCGTGGTGAGCAAGTTGTGCATTTTGATATGGGTTAAAGAACTTGTTTGCATGGCAAAACGGAAAATAAGGTACCATTTAACCTTTCAAATATTGTGATTGTTTATGACTGTTATTATAGGTGAACTGTTGTTATTAGGTGAGTTTAAGTGAATAATACATCAAATTCATCATATTATAAATTTGTCGATTGTAGATCTAAAAAAATCTGTTATTTGCCTACCTCAATCAGGTTACTATTAAAATAAAAGTAGCCTGTATAAATTCTCATAAACTGTTTCGTCTCTTCTTTTACAATCTGACTGTGGTTGAACATCCAAAAAGAAAGATCAGCTATTCACACTTATATTTTCACTAGCTGTACCCGCGGGCTTTGCCCCGTTTAACTTCTTAATTTTCAAGATGAGCTCGTTCGCATGGCTCAATCACGTCCTGGTTGAAGTGCGTTCGCTATGCTCACTCACCTTTAGGTTGGAGCTCGTTCGCTGCGCTCACTTGCCTTCAGGTTAGCTCGTTCGCTACGCTAACTCGCCTCCAGGTTGAAGTTCGTTCGCTACGCTCACTCACCTTTTGGTTGCAAATTAGCTGTTGTCATAAATTAAAAAAATAATAATAGTGCTGCACCCTGTTGGCAATCCTTGTAACTTTAAAGCTATTGAACACCATAGAACAGAACCAACTTGTTTAATTGAAACAGCTGATAAGATTCATTAATTCCTTTTAAATATGAAAAATCATAAGGTTAACATGGGAAACTCTAGAGTGTCAGTGAGGGCTTTGCCTTTTATATATTTAGATGGAACCTGGAAAAAAGTTGGTTTGCATCACTGTTATTTTTTTAGTATTTTTTAAAATTTATTTACAAAATGTACAAACAAAATAAAATTAAAATATTATTACATTAAAAAAACTTATTTATTCATTTAATTAAATTTTCAATTAAATTTTAAAAATTTTAATATTTTTTTAATATTTTAGGCTAAATTTAATTTTTTTTTCAAGCGAACACTGGAAATAAATCAAATAGCTTCTAGTTACCATTCGTCCTTACACTAGATCGTAAGCTATAAAATGGCACATCAATCGTAAAATCTGTCAAGTGGGACGGGTGGAGGGATGTAACCAAGAAACCCTTAGTGTACTGAATATAAAAATTATTAAAACATATTTGCTTGAAAAGTTAACTATTGTGAAAACCCCGTAACAATAATATATCACTTAATTAAATGGT